CAAATTGGGAATGAGGCAGTGGTGGAGACACTCCTGGAAGGAGGTGCTGCTGTTGACTCAAGGGATACTTTTGACCGGACACCACTCTCATGGGCTGCACAGAATGGGCATGAGGTAGTTGTGAAGATACTACTCAGTAGAGGAGCTGAAGCTATAGGGATTTAGCAGGTGAGTAGGGAGTCCTAGATAGCAGTAATCTAAATAATAAGTACGGAGGGTCGGTTCGATTACAGATGGATGACAAACTTTGTGTCCGTCTGGCCTCATCCTAGGGTAACATCGCTCTGCAACCCACCTCACGTCCAGATCTTGATGGTTTGCGTCACGAGTAGACTTGACTATTGTCAGCTTTCCAGTTCTTCGTATATCCGGCACGATCGCAGGGATCACTGTCGAAACTACGACTCGCGCCAAATGATCTTACCTTGCAATGGTCTGCAAATGAAAGCTCGCTCAACAATCGACCAGCTACTCTATCTTATCTGCCGTCTCCTGCATCTTGATGCAGACTGCCGGGTCAATCGAATTGTATGCGGTCCCCAGCCTCCCCTCGCCGGGCAACTGCTCTCAACAAACTCTGTGACAGCTCACATGCCTGTTTGTCCAAGGTTAGATGCTGAAAGGAGAAACCAGCCTACTCCCGATGCCGCCGACGCGGACTGTGTATGAGTATCATTATAACAAAACATCCCAGCCACAAACCACACAGCCAACCTGGTGGTGGGCCAAAGCCCACAGACTTATCCTACAGCCTATGGAACCCGCTACTACACACGCCACTGGAATCTGCAGAGGAGGAAGCGGAATTAGTAACTGGAACCGACCCAAGGAAGCTGGAAACGCGCTTACTGTGGGCGGTGCCTCCCTGGTAGGACACCGCCAGAGTAGTGATTAAAGGGTCGGAGCGGTCGCTGGCTCACCACAATATCCACTGCATTGTCTACTCGGAGGTGATATGCATCTATGCATCTAGCATCAACGGGCGTGTGGGCAGTCCTGCGGTATGCCTGGACCCCAGTCTCTGTATTCAACGCTACCTAGGCGCAGAGTGTGAGCACACCGTGCTAGTAGCAGAGATTGCGCGGCTGGTGCTGGCCCCTGCGGCTCCTCAAGCAAGGTGACGGCTGGTCGGCAGCGCGGGCAGCGCCGCCTAACCGCGGCCCTTTCTCACCAGTCGTGGTGCTTACGGGGTTCTGAATCGCCTTATCATTTTGCATCTAGTCATCATTAAAAGCAAAGGCTGGCCTGGGTAAAGAGGGTGATGAAGTATGTCAAGTAAGACAGGATGAAGGTCTGATCACATTGACAGTATCCCCGTACTTCTGAGAGTGAAAAATTCAAGAAATATAGCATTCAAGTATATCATTGTGAATATACTGCATTACTCCCTAGCTAGGCTAGCACATAGCCTGTACATGACCTCACCGCTGCTCAATCTTCGGATCCTCCGCATTCCTTCCATCCTTACACATGAGCAAGGGGAATGTTACAATGCATGACAAGTGAATAGATAGAGACGCGGTGGGCTCAAATGTGATTTAGGAGAAAGGCGACCTTCAAGGCCATCTTCCTGTTGACTTATTACAGGATTCTCTGTGCCGAGATAGGCATGAAAACATGGACGACAGCTACTATTTACCCTCATGTGGTCTGCAAGGTCTCAGGCATAGAACAGAAGACATATTAAAGAGCAATGAAAGGGAGATACCGACTGTGAGTAAGACATTGTATCACTGTTGCCTTGCCTTACGCTCTTTTTGTCTCCAAGTTATCGCGGGCTGACCGCTACTCTCCCTGCTGTGCAGTAATATTTTCAGCATTATTACGGCAATCTAAGCAAGTGCCTGTGTCATGATCGGGAAGCATCGATATTCTCACCAGTTTCTCTACCTCACACGCTCAGGACAACACTTGCGCCACCATTGACATTTACCAACATGACCCGAACCCCAGCTGCCCCAGGAAAGCACGACCGTGAATCTGCTAGCAGATACAAGATTGGCAGTAAAATCAGCACTCTATTTGCCGAGGAATTGGTGGAAAAGTCTGGTATAGCCCGGTCCGGCCAGAAACCTCTGACCGTCTTCGACAATGCCTGCGGGAGAGGCGCAGTTTCTAGTACCCTTCATCGTGCCCTTAGCGATGAGACTACACGCAACTAGCGGGTTGACCTGTGCCAATGTATCTGAAGCCATGGTCGAGGTCTCCAAGCAGAAGATGACTGGAGAAGGATGGCGCAATGCTGAGGTGAAGGTTGCGGAGGCACAGGATACTCAGCTTCCGAGTGCACACTATACGCATGTCTTCTCGGCTTTTGCTAGGGTGACAGGGACACACGGAAACGGCCCATGTTAACTTTATATCAGCTTTTAACCTCTTCCCAGACGACCAAGCTGCAATGAAAGGTAGGTTGCTCATGGTAGGTGATATTACAATAGAGGAGCCAGCTAATCTTCGCTACACTAGATTGCTTCAGAATACTTCAACCAGGAGGCACGTTGGCCGTTTTGACATGGTGTTCAGGTACGTTGACCTTCGAAATATACCAGACCAATCTAACTCGCCACCTGACAACCATCTGGGTGACACTCATCCAGTCCGCCATCGCAAGCATACCGAGCGATCTTCCCACGCCGACCACAAAAGACATATTCGGCCTGTACAACAAGAATTGGGCCGACGAGTCCCGTGTGCGGGCCCAGTTTGAGCAAGCAGGATTTACGGATATTAATGTTACCACCGTGGCAAAGCAATACCCCGTGCCCGTGCAGGAGCTCGCCGAGGCCTGCAAGATCAGTCTCTCTCATATAACGAATGGACTTTGCTCCGTGGGGGCTGAGGCGATCATTGCAACCGCTCGGAAGCCATGATTTTGGGTAGTTGTAGTTCCTGTTTCGCAGTAGCTTTTGGTCGACAGTTTGATCAGTTCTGAAGTTTCTGTTTCTCGAGCTTACCGAGCTGATGCCCTAGTATTTTACCGGTAGAACAGAGAGATGCTCTCGCTGGGCCACAGGTCGACAGTTTCTATGATGTCCCTACCAGGAAAAGAGGATGATTCTTCTCGCAGCTAGTAGACAGGTGATATCATCAAGTATGTAAATTGGTTGTCTCCAGGCCTGCCCCATATAACACCCTCCCTCTGCTTTCTTCAAGATGAGAGCTTGGAAGGGTTCAGATGCTAGAGACAATAGAATCACTTCAGCCAGGCCTCAATGAGTCCGTGGCAATTCCCCGAAATCTGATACACTTTCTTGACTTCCAATCCAGCCAGACCCAGCACCGTCTCCCACTCCTTCAATGTCCTTTGTTTGGCGCCCAGAGACATCATGATCATATCCATCCATCCTTCCTCGACACCGGCTTTCTCCGCCGGCACGACGATCTCCTCAATTAGAAGCCGTGACTTCTCTGGCTCCATAGCCGCAGCGATATTCTTCAGGATACGAACCACGCTGTCCTGGGGCCAGTTGTGGAGACAACGGCGGATGAGGTAGGTTAGAGCTCCTAGGGAGAATATCATAAGCTACACCAAGGAATTCAGTCATATCCAGCATCTTACCTCGAATAGGCTGCTCATTAAAGAAATCATAGGCCATCCTCTCGATCGCGGGATCCAATGAACCCTCGACACTCTTGACAACATGCCCCTGATCCTGCAGGATATACCGGCCCGGCAAACCACTACACAAAGGCCGGATCCGGCTGATGGCTTTGCCCTTGCCGCCGCCGATATCAACCGCGAGAATCTGGCTCGCGCTGGGCTTGAACTGGGCCAAGCTTCCCCAAGGGAACAAATCAATCATCCACAGCGGCGTCATCGCCTGCACCGTCATCCCGTTATTGAATGCCCTCATGCGCTCCGGCTTTTCGGAGAGGTTGTCGAACATGCCCTTTCCGTTCGTCTTGTGGGCGTACGTGTACGGATTATCTGTGCTGGATGAGGGTTCCTGCCAGCCATTGCGTTGGAGGAATTCATGCAGCTTGAGATGCGCGGGCATATGGTCGTCCATCCTATCAACTCCTCAGTTAGTTATGGATCTTAATAGGGAGGAAAAGCTCACGCAAATCGAAACATGCCGCGGATCTCGGGGCGCAAATACGCCTCGGAGAACGGGGTGTGGCGGTACTGGCCCGGCCCGGTCTCTTCAAATGGTCCGTACAGCGAGGAATTTCTCAGCAGACGGGCTGCTATTTTGTCAGCGGATGCATAGAATAGCAGTTTATCGGCAAGAGTGCACTGACCAAGAAGAGATTCGTCGACATTCAGTTCCTGCGCCAACTCTTCCGTGCTGCGAGATACTCGCCCAATCGGAAGCGCTTCGAAGACCCCCATCTCCAGCAACGCGCGGACGCTCGCGAGATGAGCTGTCTATCAGCCTGATTAGCAGCTATCTCATCATCTGGAATCTTTTGCGGCGTGGCTATATCCCACCCTTTCGAAACAAGTAGCGGCGGCATCAATAGGACCTTGCGCAATCTGGAGGAACTTGAGCGCCTCCCGGACCAGCTCATCGCGCGCGCTTTGTCTGGCACTGCAGCTTTCTATGGTGCTGTCCTGGCCGCTGAGCATAGTCTGCTGGCATCGTTGTGCAGCTTCGTTGAGGCCTTTCAAGGCTTTCTGGATCGAGGCATATTCATCGATTTCATCTGGGTTGGTCATGGTGTGGTGATTCTTCCCCTGAGAACCATGCGTATTTGCAAGAGCACCTTGAGCCTTGAGCCGAAAATTATCTAGATAGGGAGTTGTTGTCTACCGGTTAGAGGGGAGTTCTCCTAGAGTATTTCCGTCCGAAGTCCAAGTCCGTCCAGCTCATAGGACCGCCTTTTCGTACATGAGCATGATAAGGTAACAATAGCTGATCCACAACAAAAATTCTAAGGATGCATATTTTTCGATGCGCCACTAGACCTCCTTGCAGGGTGGATGAGGGGATATCTTCACTGCTCGCTTCAGGGATAAAAGAACATATATAATGCCAGTGATGTGGGAGATTATATCTGCATGGTTTTATAGGCCTGCACCGAGTACACGGCTGACTCTAAGGATAAAAAGATGCAGATAAGGTTTCCGACATTGCTAGCATTGTATATGCATGGCTTTATAGGGCTGCACCGAGTACTCTACACAAACCGTAAAGCATATGACATAACAAACCACTCAGCCAAAAAGGCGTCTAGACAACCATCTCTAGCGAGGAGGGATGATAGTGCACAAGAGACAACACAGCATATGCAACAAACGATGGGGACTCCTCTCAAGACTGTCAACTTGCAACTTGCACCTTGCGGCTCTGTACTACCCAGAATGTTTGGAGCAGCAGAGCCATTCCCGTTCTCATTGGCCCTCGTAGCCCTTGCTTGCCTTACATTGCATTCCTGATGAGCGAGCAGAGCCTTTTTGCCACAAATAGCTCTAAATTTGGAGTCAACGGACTTTGGCCTGTATTCTAGTTAGAGATAGGAACGGTTATGGTCGCCTCTGGAGCACGCTCGGGGAGAAACCTGCCGTGGTTGTCGGCGCGAGTCTGGGCGAGTACGCCGCGCTGTATGCTGCAAGAGCACTCTCCGCCGGCGACGTGATCTTCTTGGTTGGGCAGCGTGCTCTGCTAATGCAGGAGCTGTGCACCGCTAACAGCTATGGAATGCTAGCTGTCCAGGGAACCGTCGAGGATATTCGTCGCTGCGTGCAAGGCCGAGCATATGAAGTCGCTTGTATTAACACGCCCCGGGGTATCACGATCACTGCGTCGATCAAGGACATCGTAGACATACAAGAGTTCCTAGGGTCACAAGGGTACCGCACTGTCAAGTTGAATGTCCCGTTTGCGTTTCACTCCTCCCAGATGGAGCCCATCCTAGATCGATACGAAGACATCACGAAATATGTCTCCTTCCGAAGCCTCAAGATCCAACCCATTTCACCCACGTTGGCCGACGTGGCCTTAGAAATAGGAGTTTGGTCGCCTGTTTAATCCTGCGGGATAACACGCGGGCGCCCGTCCGGTTCGCGGAAGCCCTTGCCAAAGCGCAGGATATGGGACTCGTCAACTCCCATACTGTCTGGGTGGAAATTGGAGTCCACCCGACCTACTCGGGCGCCGTGCGCGCCACTGTCGCAGATCTCGAGGTCATTGTGCCAAGCTTGCGGTCAGATGAGACTAACTGGCATACATTGGCCGTTAGCATGTGCACCCTTCAGGAGACCGGAGTTCCACTGGACTGGAATGAGTGGTATCGACCCTTCGAGTCGGAAGTCCGCCTGCTAAACTTGCCATCCTATCAATGGGACCTGAAGAATCACTGGATCCAGCATAACGGAGACTGGCTGCTGGTGAAGGATAAACGGCCTGCAACTGACTCCGTCTCCGCTGCAACGCCATCCTTGCGCACCGCTTTGGTGCATCAGATTCTGGAGGAGTCGTTCTGGCCCGATGGCGGAGAGATCGTGGTACAGTCCGACGTCATGGACAAGGACTTTTTTGCAGTTGCGTCAGGGCACAAAATGAGTGGGCGTCCGCTCGTCTCAGTGGTGAGTCAACGATCCTGACAAGCTTTGTGCTAGACTAAATTGCCTTCTGCAGTTTGCCTACACCGACATTGCTTTCACATTAGCGAGATATATGTACTCCCGCCTTAAGCCCGAATCACCGCTTGCGGCCATGGATTTTGGTCAAGTAAGGGTCTTCCAAGGGCTGATCCCACGAAAAGATCGGTCCAAACCGCAATGGGTTCGGATGCGCATGCAGGCGGATCTCCGGCGTACAGCGATGCAGTTGTCCCTATCTCGTCTCCTGGATGACAGCTCACAAACCCCGGAGGAGAAGCTGGACAGTGGTGTCGTAACATGCGGTGACAGAAGGGCTGGCAGGATGAATGGGCCGACTACGCCCACCTGCTGACCACCCGGATCGCCACACTACACCAGATGGCGGATCACGGACAAGCGAGCCGGGTATCGCGGGATCTGGTGTACACACTCTTCAAAAATATCGTCGACTACGCAGAACACTACCGCGGCATCCAGTCGGCGGTGCTGCACGGCCTGGAAGCTGTCGCTGATATGATTCTTGCGCCTAGCAATGATAGCCGCTGGACGGCGCCTCCCCACCCACATCGACCCAGTTACCCATGTCGGGGGTCTCGTTCTCAACGCCGGTCATGCCACCGACCATCATAATACCATTTATGTGATGCACGGGTGGAAATCAATGCGGTTCGCCGAGGAACTAGTCCCGGGAGAGCTGTATCGATCCTACGTCAAAATGAATCTGGCCCGCAATGGTTCGGGTCTCTTCCTCGGCGACGTCTACGTCCTGCGTGGGGACCGTGTTATCGGAAAGGTCCGCGAGATGGCATTGCGTCCGCTGCATCGTATATTGATGAATCGCTTCTTCGACCCCCCGGGCGACGGTGACGGGGTGTTGGCTCACCACATCCAGCCCCGGGACCTGCCGCAGCTACAGCACCAACCCAGTCCGACGACAGAGTCATCATCCGGGTCCGACCAAAAGGACTCAGATATCGGCCCGCCTACCCCGGAAGTCGACTTGCCAATCGCACCATGTGAGAAGAAGGCGAACACTCAGCTTGTCCGTGACGCACTAGCTCTCCTCGCCGCCGAGACCGGAGTGGAACCGGACGGTCTGACCGATGAAACTGAATTTTCTACGCTCGGCATAGATTCGCTTCTGTCACTCGTCCTAGTGGAGAAGTTCTCGACCAAGCTGCAGGTTGATATCCAGAGTTCTATAGCTGCCGTTACTAGCAGGGGCGTCAATGCTTCTGGACGGGGCCGAACTCACAGATCCTGCCCTCTTGCATACCGTGGACAGCGACGCAAAGTGCACAGCATAGGCAGCAAATTGTTTTCTTCCAAGCTCCTGAATCGCTTTGAAAGCCTTATAAGGGCCCTCTGGCCACTCATTCTCTGATACATCGCCTAGAAGGTGAATCCTATATTTTCGGGCTATCTGCTCAAGTTTTATTTTATCGTCCTTTTGGGAGTGTCATGATGGGATGCGTTATTCTTTCGTTGCTTACCCTGACAAATTGGGCAAACGGTTATTAGATCGGAAAGATCGCACATAACAAGAACAGATGTAATGATTTTAATAATCTGAGGTAAAGGTAGACTCTAAACTGCGCAGGAGTGGTCAGTCCCAAGTGCCTAAGAACTTGTACCGAACCAGTCTGAATGTGACTCTATTTGTGAGGAATATCCCATTATTCCCACATCTTTGGTTTAATACTGGCAGAGAGTCGATCGTTTATGAATAATCAGAATATTTCGATTTTCGGGCTCGCGTACAAATTACTAGTCATTTCAGAAACCTGCCCTGCTCCGACAGCTTTCTTTGGACATGTTATGTTTTCCATGCATGATGCCTAATGTGGTCGCCAGAGATTCGGCCTAGGCGATAATGTCCTTCCCCACCCCATCGCCAACGCCGTTCCGCAGGCAACAATTGATCTTTATACTGAACTGGGTCTATTAGACGATCAATATCTTTCCTGGGTGATATATTCTATTAGAGCAAGACTTTGTTTAACTAAGAGACTTGAGGCTGTGACAGCCCTCGCATCGATGCGTCTACAACCCGGCCAACGACACAAGGCATGCGATGCCTGCTACTCCCGGAAGGTGTGTGTAAACCAGGGATAAAAAGTTCCAAGTCCATCACAAAATCAGCTGACCAAATATCTGTTCCAGATTAAATGCATTAAGATGCAGCTGACGGTGCAGTCAATTGTAATTGGTGTATGCACCATGGACTCTCATGTGCAGCCAGCGGGCAACGTTCAGAGAAGGAGAAAAAGGCAGCCTCTGCGCCAGTGTGAGTACTCGAGCTTCTGTCTATCGACTCTTCAGGAAATGACGGTTCTCTCCCCAACCTTAGCAGGGAGATTCGGCCGATTTCGCTGTCGGGACCGTTCCTCACTTCCGGAGACTGTAAAGTCATTCCTGGACCAACTGTAGCGCGGACGATGCTTTGTATTATAGATACTACTGTACCAATAGTGTGCTCAAATTGTACATTAACATTGCCAATATGTCCATCTCGACGTTTCGTGGACGATTCTCCACGAAGCCTCCTACAGGGGAAACGCCGGAACCCCTACTCCATGTCTTTGATGTCATCAATAGTACAACTGAAGCCAAGTTCAAAATCCCCCGTAAGCAAGGCTATGCCGGCCAGAGTGGCGGTGACACAGTCGGTTTTGTTGTAGGGACTTGCGCTGCCCTGGAAGAGCGACACGCACCGTCCTCGCAAGGCATAATGTTTTGCACGAGTCATCGGACAGGTTGTATTGGCCTTTTCGGCTGCGTAGTAGCAGCAGTTAGAGGCAGATCGGGTGCATTGGTTGATCCAGCCTATACTGTGCGTTCCACAGTCTGCTGTTGGATCAAGGTCGACCGCTGCGGCAGGGCAAGAAAGGAAGGCAAGAGCGGAGAGAGCAAGCAAGACTTTCATGATGAGGCAGATTCTGTCTGGTAACAAAAGACGTTTACACAGGGAGGAGAGGGGTTCTTAAGTATTCTCGCATCATGCGTAGAATTCTGTTATAGTTGGCTAGAACGGATAACTTGCAAAACCGCTTGCCGAATCTAGCAAGGATACGCGATCCCTGTAGGTGGCTTACCTAAGTATGCATTTGCATCTCGTCCAACCAGTGGATGCTGCGCACCCCTCGTATAGTAGTCTGTCCATTCTGAGACATTGGTATTTGACGAGGTTGACAAGGTGGCTGTATATGCTACTAAAATGCTCACCAGCATCACATCCCTGCATCCTGCCTATGTCATTTCTGATTGCCTGGTCGCCATAGATAACTTCTGCAATCTTGCGCKGTACCAGGTCCTGACCTGTATCCCCTGCAGATAATCCCACCTGCGCACCCATCTTAAGAACCATCAACATCGGTTCTATGGTTTGGAAACTCTCGGTCAGCGACGCGCACTGGAGAAAAGGAGCTGTAGTTTCTCTCTATGTGAGTAATAAAAACGGTTCCCCACGACGGGGTGCTACAGGATGTATTCCAGAGCTTGCATACCAGCGAAGGATTTATTATTCTATTGCTCACAATCTAGAGTCCCCACGGTTATAATGACTACAACTTCCTCGATCAACGACCAATGCCACCTGGGTACTTCTATATGCCAGCTCACCATCCTGGTCCAGAATCACAACGTCCAAGTCTGCACTGCTCCAACGGAGCATCCTTGTTACCACGCGCGAATACAACCGTTCTGCCCCTTCTGAAGGAATTCTGGTTTTCAAATCAATATTCATCGTGACGGTCCGACACCACAATTGGCCCAATTCCACTTCTGTCGTCCTATTGGCAGCCTCCTGTCCCCTTTCCAGCGCATGGAGCCGACTTGCCTTCATTGCTCCCATCCAGGCCAATGCAGCAGGGAAAATATCAGCCACGAAGACCACTGCTTCATTGGACCATTTAGCCGACTTCCCAACAGGCGCAAATCGCGCCCACTGGTCGACTACTTGATTCGTACGATCTTCCAATGTCCGAGTCGACAATGTGTGCGATGGACTGAAAGCTTGAGATGCTTCGCTCGACATGCAGCGCAGAAGGCACATGGGGACGGAGCGCCCAAGAACCGTCTGCTCCTTCATCCGCTAGAGCTCTGAGATCGATCATGCCATTCGCTAGAGAACCAGGCGGCGAAGCTGGAGAGAGATCCCACGACCCCTTAATGGCTGGACCCTGCTCCGCATCCGGTGGGTTCAACGTTATATACGCAACTGCTCACCTCGAGGTCGCTTCCATGGACCCCCTTGTTTGTAGTTGCAGGCTGATCCGGCTTTTGAGAGAGCGTGTAAACCGTGAGCCGAGGAATACTGACGATCACTCATATCAGTAATCACCCCGAGCACATTCAAATGATCTGCCGGAGCTTGGCTCATCGAACATTTCCACAAATGCCGGTTGTGATAAAAGAGCAACTAATATCAGCTACCGTGTAAAAACCAATAACCATATCCAAAAGATGTTACGTGGGGCTTCTGAACTCAACTTTAGTTCTATTTGACATCGGAAAGTCGCTGCGGTACCCTAGTTGGAGGAGAGTAAGACAGAGTAACCAGTAATGAAGTGTGATAAATATTTTCTTTGAATGCGATCTCTTCTCAATGTTCACTAATCAAATCTGATGCGGAGGCTTCTCCTCGGCAGAAGGATACCCTAGTATGTATGTAGTAGCAGAGCTCCTATCTCAATCAGAAGCGAGATCATCTTCTACACACGCTTCTTGCACATCATTTCGTGAGTTGTTTTATGCTACAAGAATTTCCATTATACAGGAATGAGTGGAATCACACTTGCGTCTTACCTCCATATCGGCCCGGCGAGATTCAGCTTAATCAAAAATAAAATCTGTCAATTTACTGTACTAGATTAATGAACATCCGTGTTGTCATCCTTAAACCGTGAGCTGCTTTTATGCTACAGTTGGTGCTCTCTTGGGACCTGAAACAATCCGTGAGAAGACAATCTCAGGGCTGCAGGATTGAACCGGTCCGGATATAGCTCCATCATCCTGGTAAAAACCTCCGTAGGGTCCTTCGGGCCACTCGCAGCAATTTTCCCCAGGTCCTCAATATAATTCTTTGTAGCTGCGAGATGCCACACTCCATCGATCTCTTCTGCCAGTCTGTGACCAGGAACAACGTATGCGGGTCTCAACGCCTCAACTGTTTCCACGGCTCGAATCCAGTCATCACGCTTAGCCTTGGTATTAGCTTCAAAAAGCATCTGGTGCACTTGCCCATACACAACATCACCACACACCGCGAGCCTGAGGTCCGGAACCCAGAGAACAGTCGAGTCATAGGTGTCCGAATGACCACATTCGATGGCCTGTAAGACGTAGCGGTCTTCTAACAGGAACTGATGATTCTCCGGCAGCGGAAAAGCTAACTGGGCCGGCTGCGGGGTGTATATCTGGCCTGGGAACCGTGCTTCCCACATGGAAGCGAAAATTGGCTGCTGAACTTGTTGGTTCATATGTTCGATGACTCGAGGCGTGGCAACCGGCGTTGCCTCTGGGAAGTGCTTTTGAATGACCGGTATGCCAAAGAAGTGGTCGCCATGGCCATGGGTGATATAGATGTTCACCAATTTCCTGCCTGGAGCTATCCTTTTTATCCACTCCACAAGTTCCTCAGTCTGTTTGACCGTGATGGGAGTGTCGACAAGCACAGCTTGTTTTGCCGTGTAAATCAAAGTGCAGGATATCGGGGACCACACGCCTCCTTTGGATGGAGCCACGACGTTGAATGGTATTGGTGGCGCAACATAAACTGCCGATCGTAGGTTAGACATTGCGAAAATCTGTGGACGCAGGGAAGGGGTGGGTAGCAACCAGATAGCCATGCCTGTTTGTTCAACTTTATATACTCCAGGAGCCCTGTGCGTACGTTATACCTCGGTACGGAGTGATGATTAATCGCTTCTATCTTGTAGCTATCCCTAGATCGAATAACCGCCTCGGCTTCCTATTTCGCATCAGTGATCTCGAAATCATGCCCGTCCCCACCGTATACTGCACTATTTACATCTAGCAAATGTGGTCCAGATACCGCGGCTTCAGTGCAGCCATCTCCTGGTCTGGTTGCCCTGGTTCCCGGATGTATAAATCCTAAGTCATTTCCAGATTAGAGACTCCCATCCAGACCTCAGTCCTTTCATCTGTCTTTTTTTATCCTCAACAATTGCCCGACATGCCCAAATGGGTGTTCCATCATACTCCCGGTGCTTTCACGCCTGAGGAGAAGCAGCAGATTGCCTGCGGGATGACGAAGTTATACTCAAGTGTCGGGCTGCCTCCGTTTTATGCCCATGCTCACTTCTTCGAATTACCACCCGACAGTATCTACGCAGGCGGGGAAGCTCCCAGTGCTCTTACCACTATAGCGATCTACCATATCGCTCGGACCTTCGACACTCAGGAAATCCAGGATATGTTTTTCAAGACTCTGGACGACATTCTTCGACCAATCCTCAAGCCAAAGCGCATCGAGTGGGAAATTGGCATCTACGAGGGCAATCGTGATTATTGGAGAATCAACGGTCTCATCCCACCTGCCACCGGTTCTGAGCTGGAGAAAAAGTGGTTCGCAGCGAACAAGGTTACGGATGAAGAAGAGCTTCTCAAATCCCAACCTCATCCTTGAAGGGCCTTAGCCTTACCGATCAGGGAGCCTAAGTGGAGATTTCTGGTCAGACTCGCGGTTGGCACTTTCATTACAGGTTGTTATGTGGACTACAATGGATATTTGTATTGTACCTAGCCATCAACGGTAGCACGGACGGTCCATACTTCAGAAATGATTCACTACACCGACTTTCAATTATCCAGGCCGGCAATCGTTGAGAGCTGTGACAGGTACTACCACCTTAATAATGCGTACAAGGGTTTACTTTATTTGTCTGCCGAGTTTGCTATATTAGATAGCCATAACAGCGCTACGGAGCGTCTTCAACCTCATTCCAGATATAAAGAGTACACACTTTGGCATAGCTGGTCCTTAATTAGCAATTCTTCATTTAGTTGCGAAGATAAAGGTAGCATGCAGAATGGGGATTAAGCCTATAGTGGAATAACTGCGCATCCCTTTGAAAACCCAGGCACCAAGGAAAATCCACATATTCAATGAAACCCACACATCGATATAGGCGTTGTATAAACCATATGAATCTGGTGGCTGATCCAGATGTCAGCTACTGTAGAGTATTAATTATGTTGTGTCTCCTAGGGAGCATGAATTCAATGGTTGTATCAGTGAGATACGAGATGCCCTTGGTTATTTAAAGAGGAATTTTCGTGCACATCGAACATATGCATCTAGTTGAACAGCCCAATTCCGAAGGCTCATATCTCGCGACAAAAACTCCGAACACCGAAGCCTGATAGGCATCCAAGCGGCTATATTTGGAGAATTGCAAATATTGAGATTCATCATTTCGAAAGGGCAGGATACATCTCGCCCTTTACTACACGGCAGTTCCCCTTCCAACAAGTGCGATTGCTAAACGGATGCAACAACAGTAGTGTAGACCTTGGTCCACATTAAATACATGGGCAATGTACACCCTGTCATGATTGTACACCAGTTATGGAAGTTCCAGGTTCCAACCAGACGTAAATTACAGTGCTCAAATAGACAACTCAGGCTAAGGCCTTGGCAGTGGATCGGAAAAAGAAGCATCGTATGTTTGCTGGTCAGGGCGATTTCGAGAATCACTGTAATCAATCGATGAATAAGTCCTTCCTCATAGCCCAAAGGATGAAAGCATTTTCCAGATCCCACGTAAAAGGAGGACAATAACATTCTCCAACAACTCGAAATCCTTTCTTCAACCAATATTCGCCATTTATCTCCCTAACGACTTTGAGTATAATTCTCAAATGAGTTTTTTGGGAAGGTTGCCCAAGAGATGTCTTGAATTTTCTATGCAGTTCGTCCTCACAAGCCCTCACAAGTCCCTCGGCTATACCCCTTTTTCTGTATTGTACGCCAGGTTTGACAGCAACCAATAAAATTTCGAAATCCCCATCGCAGCTATCACTGTCCGCGTCAGAGTTGTGGGTGTTCAGGCAAGTCGATTGCATGGAAAGAACCTCGTTGGCACTCTTCCCTTCATAGTAGCCGCGTGGCTTCCAGGCAACGCCTTCAGCATTGGACACCCAAGTTTTGACGCTTGCTGTGCCAACAATTTCATTTGAAACGGTTGCAACGGCAGTAAATCCACTGCTATCAAGTTCGTCGGCGATTTGGGTATCGGTCTGGAGCCGGTAGCCGATTTTTCCTACTGGGTTGATTTCGTGGTCACGGTAGCTGGCGTTTATGACCGCCCGAAGCTCTGGAAGAAAAGGCTGTTTTAGAAGATCGCGCCTGTAGAAAATTTTTACATCGAAAAATGACGATTCCCGCTTGTTTCTTTGCTCGTCTTCGTGGACTTCGTTGGGGGCGGTTGATGGAGCTGGTGTTTTCAATGGAAGCATGTCGCAAGCGATTTAAATGCCCGGGCTGGGATTGGGTGCTGTGGATAGATAGTTTTGGGCATAAACAGGAAATTGATGAGTTCAGAAGGACGGGGGAAGGAAAACAGATATATTGGGAAACCCACCACAGCTAGGTTTCGACCTGAACAACATTTGTAGGACAACAAGCTTGTCATCGGAAGGGCGTGGCGCTTGGTAATCTAAATAACTATCGGCCCTTTTTTGATTGGCTATTAAGGCAGTTTGTTTGAGCCTCTCTGTAAAAGGCAAGCCAATGCTGTCCAACCCAGAGGCGGAGGCAAAATGGTCGTATTCAGGTTGATTAACCCAGTCCACGACCCATTATCCTCGTTTCTCGTCCACCTCCCAGACAGTCAGCTTTGTGCGCTTTGGATTCGTTGTTTAGCCCACCGTTATTTAGCCTACTGTCGTTTACCCTACTGTTGTCTGGGATGCCGTTGTTTTCTGGCTATTATTGGCTGAGGTTCTGTCTAGGCCACCTTTGTTTGAGACCTTGTATGTTCTGGTTTACTACTGCCTTAATTATATCGACTAGGGGGATGCATACCACCCAAGCTCGTGAAAACTCTGGGTGTGCGAGACAGACGAAGACCAAGGTTGCGGATGAGAAGGAAGACAGGATGGCAGGGTGCAGATCAAGCAAGTTGCCCTATCCCCTATGCGCTCTGAGACCTCTGCCTGGCACGTACCATGGAGATTTACAGTATTTTACTCCGTACAATGATAATAAAATCCAATACGGCACAAGACGCAGAAGACCAAGCAAGAGTCATTCGACGAATGCGGGATTAGAATATTTTCGAATACCGTGGAGAAACAAAGTCTGTATTTCTACGCTGTAGTCTGTTTTCGAAGACTACTGTAACGCTGGTCATGGTGAAATTTGTATACTTCGACTGGTGCAATACCATGGGGAGACCAGCCAGTGTGTCTAAAACTTGCCGTTGTCACCGTGTTCTTCCTCCCTGGGGCCACATTTGCCGTAAGTCTTGCGGGGCGAAGATCATCCATTTATGCCAATTACAACTTAATTTATATTATCGGATCGAGGCTCATCTTCCGCTCTATGGGCTCTCTTGTCCATGCCTTTTTTCAGTAATAAGGAATGGCTAGAAGATGCATCTAGGTTCTGGATCAGGATTGTAATGAGAGTGCCCTCCACTGGCGCCTGTTTCCTCTTCTACCATTACTGGATATCTAAGTCACAACGGTTCCCCGTAGGTGAAGAGATGTCTCTGGAAAGCCAGACGTAACTGCTTGTGAGTAAATGGAAGTCCTATCGGCGACTCAAGGGAACTCTGTGCCCCAGTATTTGTGGGAGTTCTACAAGGCAATAAGTCATGACGTCTCCTGAGAACCTTTTAATTAATGAGCTAGGATAAGGGGTTAAAAACAGCAGATGTATCAAATACTGGTTGGCTCCAGACTAGACGGGAACTGGATATGTAAGGCAACTAGTATTTGATACATCTGCTCTCTTAGGGCAAACTAGTAAACTCGCCCGTCTCGGTCCGCATAGTAATGCAGCACAGCTGACAGCTCATGTCCATCTGCCTTGTCGAAGGTAATTCCGACCCATTTACCATGGCAAGTCCCTTTGAATATCTCACCGTGCGCCTCGCCGGAAAGCGCGCCCCCATTGTAGTATTCTGGAAGCAACTTCACTGCCGTGTCGTCGTCACGCAGGTTCACCTGCACATCACACCATGGCTTGTAATTGTGAATTCCCAGGATAGCGGTGAATGTTTCGCCAGAGGAGGATTTGAAGCGAAGGATCCCAGAGGTACCGCTGCCCCCCATGGACAACACATACTGGCAGTCCTGCTCTGTCCAGATGCCTCCGTTGGCATAGTACCAGCATGTCTTTTCGACGACAGTGAGGTTATCACTGGTGCTGTTCCGGATAGTGAGACGGATAGTGTAGGACATTGTGGCGCTGCAAGAGTCAGCATACCCTTGGGAGAGGCTTTGTAGATGGCATACATACATGATACTGATATGACTAGTATGCTTGAACCCGAATAGCGTCGAGAGATAGCTGCTGGATGTGAAGTATATGCTTCAATGCAGAAAGAGGGTCTTGTCGGCTCAGACGGCAGAACTATATCTGACCCAACCTCAATTCTGGGAGGGATTTTACGCTATATATATAAGAGGGGTGACACAAAAGCCAGTGTAAATGCAAATACCTGCTATCGGCTATAATTGGCGTATCATTTTGCCCGATAGTAAGAACTGAGCCCGGTTCATGTTCTTGCCGAAGATGCTAACTGTCAGATTCAGCTCCTGAAGAGCGACATGATTTGGTCTCATCAATATCATATAACACTCAAGAGGGAATCGCCGGCTCTGATAGTGCGAACCCTTGTCGTGGCGTTCCCCAGAACGGAATCTTGCAGCAAGGCGCTTAAACCCCAGTGGCTTGAAGATAATCTGAGCTGAAAATGCTGAAGTGGCGTGCTGAGGATGAAAATTATTAGGATTTTCTTATGCAGAAGGGCAAATCCTTTTGCAAAGGCTGGCGGATGCGAAGTAGGACGCTCATGTTTGCCTAACTGGGGACTACGGTCACTGGAGATGGGGCACCTAGCTGGACTGGCAAAGCTACMCGTAATCGATCGGCATAACAGGCGATTTGTGCGAAGTATTCCTATGCCTATGGTTGTGACAGTAGCTTTCAGATTTTACATGAATTTCATTTCTTCATATGCAAGCTATTGCCAACCTGGGATAAGTGATATGTATTCTTGAACTAATCGAAACGCGGGGCTTAGATCACAAATTCAGCTCCTCATTTGTTTAACGGGTTTCACCGGCGGGGACTGGGTGTACCGTGGCTGAAGTTACATATCAATCAAAGGTCCAGTCTCGATGCAGCTCTGCAAATGCTTTGCAGTCAAACAGGAGAGCTATGCAGCATGGTATCGAGCCAAAATCTTGGTCTGTTTTGCCAATTGAGGGTTACCATGGTCTTTCGACGGTTCCCAAGAGAGATATTGAGGCCTGCCCTACAACCCTGGAGCCAATGGGCTCTTGACATACAACCGTCAGGTGTGATCTATAGTATAATCAACGCCACAAAAAAATCTTCGGCAATATCACATCTCAGCTAGCCACCAAAGCGTGCCGCTGTTCAGCAAGCGCAACCATAGGAACAGGAAACCTATCAATCAGCTTGGTGCTTGAGCCCTACCGGAATGACCGATGCCACACGACATCTCAGGGACTCGGACCATCTTTGAAACTGGTAGAATCAGGGCATGGCACATCACCGGATGTTTGATTCCATTCCGGATGTGTATATAAAGCTGGTAATTCCTCAGGGTGAACAATCTAAACAGCCAGAAAGAACAGCACATTTATCTAGCATAATCAATTGCATCAGGTGCAGAGTTTCACCCGCACTACCGAGCCATTAAATGTAACGCCCCATTCCGTTCAAAGACCACATAACTTGAAAAAGTCTGGCCGTGAGTACACAAAAGCTAATGGTATTTAGACCACACTATCAAGATGGGCTGCCCTGGGAATAATACCAACCCGTGCCAGCCACCGCCGCCGCCTCCGTGCACTAACATCTGCGGCGATCCAAACTGTGGAGTGACGCACATCTGTGACGCCGACTACAATCGCATCGTTCAGCCAATGGGATACCCTGGTGTGGTCCGATGCCAACCCAACTGCTGCCAGATTTCCAGATGTTGCAACCGATGTGGAGGAGGCTGTTGTGTGAGGTGCAGGAGGGGATGCAGATAAAGATGCTCAGTGGGACAAATTTATCGCTGAGCCCAATCTGCTTGTTCTCTCTTCTTTCTCCAATCTGCGAACCTTCTTACCATTTCCTGTTCGCAACACATTTCGCGCCAGTTCTCCTCTATCCTTCGTCTTTCTGCTTCAATCGTAATTTCGTCAGAGGACAAAGATTGGACTTTTTGCTTGAGAGATTGAATCTCCTTCAGTTTGAGATCGATGTCTAAGTCCTTCGCGCAACGTTTCCCAATAATGCTGATCATCATATTCTCTCGTCGTTGCTTCTGTCGTGTAAATTCTGCCGCTCTTCCCGGCATAAAGGAGCACATATAGAGCCACCATGTCTCCTCTGTAGCCTTTTCTCTCATAATGCGTTCTTTCTCTCCTTTTAGACTGTCTCTCTCCACATTCAGTCTAACCAGGTCCTTGTTTGCGTTGTATAACAAAATTTCATGGCCCCTGCGCTTATCCTTGAGTTGTCGAAGCTGTCTGTCCAGTTCTGCTATGTTTTGATCCTTGATTTTTTGGGGACGTATTGTTGATTCATATATTCGGTCATATTCTCGACGTTTAGCGACATCATGAAGCTGCTCATACGCAGCTTTGAGCTGAGTATAACCGCGTCAGTGACGATGCAGGCTTCTAGGAGAGAGGAAAAGCTGGCGGTTAGCTTACTAGTTGAAATTCGGCTGTTGCTTTGGGCTCATTCCTTCGTCGATCTGGATGCTTAGCCAAAGCCAATCTTTTGTATGTCGACCTGATGGTAGCCGAGTCCGCGGACTGAGGAATCCCGAGAATCGCGTAATAATCATGAAGGACTGTGGTGGGTTGCATTGTAAGCCAGACCGGGTGAACGAAGGTGGATGATATCGCTGTAAGGCCTCAATGAACGCGAGCGGACCGGTCCGCTAAGTGGAGTTGGTGGGCGGAAATGAGATGAAGTCTGGAGGGTGACACTGAGGTGTTAGCTGCATTAATAATACACATTTGCTTTGTACAGCTCTAGTCATTATTGGAAAATACATACCATCCTTTTGACAGGGATAGTCCAGGAAATCTCTCAATATGTACTAATATGTTGGCAATCAGGGTTCGAGAGACAATCAAAGAGTGTGCATGGCTCCGGGGGTCTGATGAGAGGCGAATCAGCAGCCCACCTTACAAGAAACTAGAGATTTAGCTGTAGAATTAAGTTCTTATTAAAATATACATGCGTGCCTCTATTATAAGTTTTGTCCCTATAGCATCTGTTAAAGGTTCAATTCTCTCACTCTTATGTAAAGCATCTCTCATTTATATAAAAATAGAGTAACTAGCGCGGGATAATGAAATGATAGGTAACAATCAATCCTTACGTTCCTTAACCATGGCGCTACTAACATGACGGAACTTTATAGGCTGGTTCCCCTCCTTCATCCCCTGCACTGTTAAGGGCTACGGCAGACTGCCGCAATGCCATATGCAACTAAAGCCAATGGTACAGCTGGCTTAGACCTACTATGTCATATGATATAGTGTTCGCTCAGATCTTCTCTCGTCCAACCCGGATGTAGAAGCTTCGTATTTCTCAGCTAGCGCCTTTGCTAAGCCTCGCTCCCCCCCACACGCTGAGTTTCGGTTGACTTGATTATTCAAGCCAGAAAAGAGGGTCAACCTATTTCATTCCTGTTCCGTCTCTTACGCCACATTACTTTGATTTGAGTGTCGCCATGAAAGTCCTGAAAATACTCGCGGCCAAATTCAGGTCGAAGAAGAACAAGAGCAAGACACCTGTACCAAAACGAGATAAGAGGTTAAAGCGCAATAGATCTGCTCGATGAAAAAGAAAAAAGATCCAGGCTGATGGTAATTGCAGCGACGGTTCTAAAGATGTAGCCACGGCCGACACGACACCAACCAATCCAGCCCGCGGAGAGAAGGCGGATTCAAAGAAGTCGAAGGAATCAAGGGGCACAGTCACAGACGAGGAAAGATATCGCTATCAGAAAATAGTGCTGGGAATGACAGATGCGCAGATAGCCAGGCAATTGAAGCCAGGGCGCTATGAGTTCCAGGGGACGTCGTTAAGTGCTCGCCCTATTGGCGAGGGTGAATTGGCATATGCATATGGATACCGGTACAAGCAGACAGCCTGTTGAATGAATGGCTGCTTAACTATAAATAGACAATTCCTTTCATTATGGAGGGTGGAAACTTAATACGTCGGTTTCACCAACCGCCTGCAATAATCATGTTGCTCCCTAGCCGCCCGACTCGTAGCGCAGTACATACATTCCCCAGAACCTGTATGTACATCCCCTTTATGAGGCTTTCAGCCCAGAACAATATCGGGAGATCGCCTGTTGTCCGATGGCACAGAATCGAATCATATCTAACTTGCGCTGGCCACTGATCTACACGAAACTCGAAGATATTCTCCCCCTTGAGTCCCTTAAAAGCTGCCCCGGGACGGACCTTCTCGGATCAGCAGTCCAGCAACCACACTGCACGCCGAAGACACCCTGTCCACCGAAGGGCGGCGGCCTGAAGCCACCGAACCCAGAAATCTTCGCCGCGAGTTTATTGTTGACTGTTCGTTGGACGTGGACTTGAAGTCCCTCAAGATCGGAGGAGAAATACTTCGGGTTGCCGTGTACATCAGTTCGGGCGATCCGCCACGTCAAGTTCCCTGCCTTGCGGCAAGAACGCGTTGCCCATATCCTTAACAAGATCGACAGTCATATCCTTCGCAAAGGACCGTTTGTCAGGATGATCCCGTGCCCGATGCCAGAGCGCACCGCCCACCCGGAGACCACATAGATCGGTTCCACGTCCATTACCGCCGTGGAGCTGTCAATCTTGAAATGCACATGAAGCATTTCGTGTCCCCTCGCATTCTTCGGTTTCCCCTACTCAACAACCCCAATCTGCACCAACTCCCTCTCAAACTTCGCCGCAGCCACTGCAAAACCCTCAATTGGATTCTGCAGACTCCCCACCCGAGGTCCAGGCAGACAATCCTGCAACGCAAACCCATGGACACCCTGAAGTCAGATCGAGCGCATGCAGAGAGTGACTGTTATCATTTTCCGCACGGAGTCAGAATCACCGAATAATTCTTCGCAGGACGGAGTCAAGTCAAGACGGTGTTCTACAGGAAACGCTTTCCGCAAAGGCTATATTTACAGGCGATGGACGCTCCCAGGCCACCTCATGGCAGGCGGCAAGCCTTTGAGGTCTCCCAGCTTCATAAAGTGATTGCAGTTCGACTCATAGGCCACCATGGACTCTAATAGCTACAGGCACGTCTTAGAATATGGGTGCCTCCTTCACGGTCAACTGTAACGAGCATTTATCGAACGATTCCACCCGCCCACATCAACGTCCCTGTTCTCAGTAACGATTGCTTCATTATTCGAGCAACGGCCTGTAATAGATAGTATTTTATGAAAGGGCCGGTGAGGCCCCTGTTCCATAGTTCTCAAGCACAAAGTCGACATCTTTGTCGCCGCGCCCCGAAAGATTGACTAGTATTCGTTCGGATGAAGCGCGCTGCGACGCCAAGCGGATTGCAAACGCCAAAGCATGCGCACTTTCCAATGCAGGAATAATTCCCTCAAATTTGGCCAAGCGGAAAAATGTACTGATGGCTTCCTCATTGGAAACTGCTGCGATGGAAAGCCGACCGGTTTCATGGAGATTCGCAATCTCTGGGCCAACGCCGGGGTAGGCGAGTCCCGATGCCACAGAGGAGACCCGAGCAGGCGTACCGTCCTCTTTCTGCAGCACAACCGATCGAGCACCATGCAATGTTCCCAGTCTTCCATAGGATAGCGTCGCTGCGTGTTGACCCGGTTCATCAGATACGCCAAGAGGCTCCACTGCGTGCAGAACAACCCCCGGATCATCAATGAAGCCAGAATACATACCCATCGCATTGGAGCCACCTGCGACACAGGCAACCACATGGTCAGGCAAGCTTCCATTCGTGATGGAAAGGAATTGCTCGCGAGCTTCTCGACCAACTACACCTTGGAAGTCTCGAACAATCATTGGGAAGGGATGCGGGCCGATAGCCGATCCGATCGCATAGAGCGCGTGTGCATGCTGCTCTACATACGCGTTGAATGCGGAATCACTAGCCTCCTTGAGGGCGGACTGGCCTGAAGTTGCTGATACCACGCGCGCGCCGAGCAGCTGCATGCGACCGACATTCGAACTCTGTTTAGCAATATCCACCTCCCCCATGTGGACTTCGCATTCAAGGCCAAAATAGGCTGCTGCAGTTGCCAACGCGACGCCGTGCTGGCCGGCCCCGGTCTCGGCAATCAGCTTCTTCTTACCCATTTTCTTGGCGAGAAGTGCGAAGCCAACACAGTGATTGATTTTGTGCGCGCCGGTGTGATTCAAATCCTCGCGCTTAACGTAGATCTGAGCGCCCCCGACCTGATTTGAAATATTCTCGAGGTAATGTATCGGGGTCGGCCGCCCTTGAAGCCCGACTCGCACCTTGTTGAGTTCGCGTTGGAATTCTGGCGTTTGATGAAGCTCCTGATAGCTGCTGGCCAGTTCTTCCAGCGCAGGCCGAAGCTCCGGTGGATAGTGGTTGCCGCCAAACCGACCGAAATATCCTTCAGTGTCGGGATAGCTTTGGAAATAAGGACGTTGAATGTCTGCCATCATGACCAATCTTCGGAGACGAGCAGCAGCTTAACGTATTGAATAGGACTTGTGATTTGCGTGCGCAGGCCGTGGCAACAGAATGACGAAACTCGGGCTTGAAAATCCCACCCGGGTCGACGATTGCGACGGGGTATCAGATTGAGGGTATCGTTGATAGATCTGTTCGGTAGTAGTTTCGAAAGCGTGGTCACTGGGCGGGGTTCCTGAATTTGTAGCTTTTCGGAGCCTCGCCGGTCGAGCAAAGACGCACGAAGCTGACTAGATCTCCTCCATATCGATTGGTGCGATTTCTTGTCCCGGCGACGGTTGGTTGCCTGACCCCAAACCGAGCCGCAATCTTGTATGTTCTCCGACCCGCTTGCTTACATTGCAAAGGCCATTCAAGCCGCGATCCGCTTCCAACAAATGGCTCGTGGGCGCCGGGAAAGGTTCCTATAGAAAGCTGCAACCCGCCAACTATCTGACCTGCGTACCTATGCAACAAAAATATATGATTCGACCAGTCGACTAGAAGTTTCGGTATGAGACGCTAAGCCCTCTGCTGACGCGCCTTTTTCAGCGACGCCCTTAACTACAGCCCTCGATTAAGCACACATTATCCGATGAGTCGTTCAGAGGAGACCTCGGAGGGGCCCGCAGGGACCTGACCCGACGGTCCCGACCCGACCCATTACGTGTCAAGACTCAAGAGCGGGTCTTGGTTCGCAAATCCCAGACCTCCAAACGTGGAGTACATGGGGAGTTTCATTCTGTGATGATTCCACAGCGTTTGCCTGATCTTATCTTCTGAGCAGGAGGGACTGGAAAGGACACCTTGGTAGGCCATCCAAATGCAGGCACGCCAAAAATAGTGAAAAATAGAGAGACGGCTATGGAAATGGCATGCATGTTCTCCACCACTACTGAAATATGATTGCCCCCAGCACGCTGGCGGTAGGAAGGCTATAAAAAGCTTATAGTCCTTAGGAAGAAGAGCCAAGAGCCCTTAATTTGCTAAAATCTAAATAAAGCTGCCCTTTGGTACCCATCCAGGTATCCACCCTGAACGGTGGAATGCTATTTCATGAAGATCATGGATCCAGTTAACCAGCTGTGAATACTTAGTAAGATATGCAACCCACATAACGCCTGAGATGATGGCTATGAATAAAAATGACCATATGTGTATGGTGTGCAGTCTACTAATTTATCTCTAGTTGTCCTCATAACAAGGGATCAGGTCTTGTATCTGGCGTAAAGTAAACAAAGTAAAGTCGCCTCAAAATGAAGAGACATCAAGGCCTGAGTAACTTATCTCAAGGATACCTAGCTTCATGGTTTCGCCAACTATGGACGGCCGTGTAACGTATTCCCCGAATGTTCCTTTTAGGATGTGCCGAACTATACATATAAGACCTATTCTCAATTTTATTGCTATGATCCTATTTACACATCATGTATTCGTGGATAACGCCGTCTTTGCCTGGATTGTCGTTCACGAGGAGGGATTGGCGGAATCCTTTCACGTATTATATTGGCTATCTGCTCATGGCCATGGAAAGTTGCCACCGTACAAGGCGTTTGAGAAGCCCGGCTGCCATCATTAGGATTTGGAGCACAACCTTTATCAAGAGCACCTTGACTATCGCTTCATGTCCATTCTTCGCGGCAGTAAAAAGTGGTGTCCAACGATACTCATTCCTGACCTCAGTGTCAATATTCTCCACAGCTAGAAGGAGCTTAACAATGGTAAGGTTTCCCTTCCAGCCGCGTAACGCAATGGTGCCGAAAGTTCGATAGGAAATAAAAGATAAAAGGTAGGAAACAGAATAACGACATCAGATAAAGCACGAGGAGTGGGATCCTTACCTGAATAGTATTATCCCTATTTAGTAGGTATAATGAAGTGATAGAGTTGAGCACTTCGAAAGATTGGACTAGGAGAAGGCAGTATGATTAAGAGGAGGAATATCGCTGCTATGTCTGGCTCACAGCAATCCGTCATTGATCGACCTAATCTTCGCATGGCCGAGTGAGAAATCGGACCTTGGCTCCAATCGAGTTTGGCTTTGTTGCAGCTCATTGAGAATATCGAGAGGGACTTGATCAAGGCGACATTTACATAGTATTCCTCTTCCGAACGGGACCTCTCGTCCGAAGTCGCAGCGGAAGCGGAGAAAATGATATTTGTGTTGTCGTTTATCGTATCCCTAACCAGGACCTGTCAGTAAGGTAGACTGTATGATCAAGGATATACTTACTTGCGGCGTCTGGTAAACCGGAGGGTGATTGATCCATGCACATTGTCAATTATACTATCAGAGTTGGTCGAGTGTCCGACAGTAAGATGTATATCACTCCATCTCAGATATAAATTTCTGTTGATTGGGTCGCTGATGAAATCACCTATTTGCAGTCGGACGTCAGTGTATGTATTATAGACTCGGAAAATAGAGAAGGTTAGGCGAACCAGGTCGACATCCAATAGCACTCTGTAAGACAACCATCGTGAGTTTCAATAAATGGACATCCCATGATATGGTTCCACGGGCCATAGCATTGTCAAGCCATGCTGACGCCATTTTTCGGACGATGTAGTGACCTGCCCAAGTCCTTTGTGTTCCCTTAAGAAGAACACCTTCTAACACGAGTCTGTTAAGACAGGAGTCAACATGCGGAGTAATATGTCTGTTGTTCTGAAACTTTGAATATCTAAACTGCATTGCAAAGTAGATATGCAAGATCTCATGACGGACACCTTGAACATTAACTGTGGCAGAGTAACTGTGATTTGGCTTCACCCTTGTGGCAAGTGTTGCTATGAAGCGTACGAAACCCTCTGCTGTCGGGGGGATCGAGAGGCTATTCAGGTTCCTAAGGCAGATAATGTTGGTGGTGGTAAGAAACCAGAACGTTTGCCGTCTATAGACAGTGACTCACTGCGGATTGGTCATCTCTCTATATGATCAAATCAATTTCTCCCATATGTCAATTAATCTCTGGGTCTTGGGAGATGCGGCTGTTAGTCCTAGTGTTAGGTACCGCTGTTTGGAGCGTATTCTGTCTTCATTGACGACAGGACTTATATGGATGTGGAGACTGCTTAGTTTTGATGAAAGAGATAATGATGGTGATAGGGGTAAAGGAAGCGCTGGAGGGCAACCATTGGGTCCAGGAGACACGGAGAGAAAACAATGAGAGGAGAGGGAGGACGGGAAGAGAAGGAGACATTTAGCTCCTAGAGGTTTGGCAGCCAGACAGGTTAAAGTTGGATAGAAAGATGGAAGCTTATAGTATTGCGGCGCCGGACTATAATATTCTGTCATTGCAGGCTGTCCGTCGCTATCTTCTCCATTTCCCGTACAATCTCGGGAGACATGGATGCACCAATATCCTTATGGAGATTTTCGCGTCGCACGTCCAGATTGAAGATACTAAGAGCAGATCAGACGAAACTGGTATAGCGCCTTGGTTTATTCCGTATGATCTTATATTGGAGAAGTTATATCATCATTGTCAAGCAGAAAGCATCACGATAGAGAAAATATACGCAATGTTGGAAGATCAAGAATGTGCACCTAAGCAAAGGTACCAGAAGGAGAAGAGGGAAAGACCACCGTATTTATTCTACAGACGGTGAATATACGCCTCATTCACTGCCCTGCGGCTCTACATTCACTTCGTTCTTTGGACACATTGTCCACACGGCTCTAGACTCTTCCCAGTGACGTATTCCTTTGTGGTGAAAAAAGGCTACATGCATTATTTGTCAGGGAAACAAATCTCTGGCAGTAGAGCACACATCATTAAGGATTCCGCATATCCTAAGCAGCAGATATCCTTACTGGAAGCACAATTCCGGTGGCTTAGAACAGACTCATTTTCCTGTGCGGGAGGCCACTGCAGAGAAGAGAAGACAAAAGTGGAAAAGGTAATACAAGTTCTGTTGATTCAGAAATCATTTACAGTCATTACTTGGGATATAATTTAAGCAGACTCTCGGGACGTTGCGCTCAATTGTAGGAGTAAAGATTCAGAAGAAACGTGTCCAGTTGGCTATGTCTGCGGATTAAGCTTTCAGCTACAACTTAGCAATGGGCATCTAGAGGGGCACTCCGTAGATTGTCTGACACTAAGGAAAGAAATTTCTAGGTTTCCAACACGCCAAGAGCCGTTCGTATTTCAATAGAGCATCAACATGAACTAACACTAAAATCGGCTACACGCGGATGACTCATACTTGTCTCACTCTAGTAAGCACACAATTGGCAAGCCAAATCCTCGCGTAGAGTACATATCTTGACGCACAGTGATAATCCTCTCACAAGGAAAATCAAAAAAGCCAAGAGCCACCATGGCCTGTACCCTGGTCCCCATCAACCTGCACAATCCAACCGAGTACGCCGAGCTGCAGGCCCAGCGCGTCCAATGCGGCTGGGACGCGGAAGACAGCAAGATCCTCGCATGGCGCGAGAAGCAAGACCAAAAGCTGAAATCGTTCTTTTGGATCACACTTCCCGCCCAATCTTCTCCAAGGGACAATGCAGACGACCAGGCAGATGAGAAACGCACTATTCGCGCAGGCCACATATCCCTGGACGCCTATGCGGACCCTCCAGATCCCGGACTGGCTTGCGCCGACAAATCCGTTCTGACGATCCAGACCTTTTTTATCCTGCCAGAGTACCGCCGTAATGGTCTCGGGGGGAGAGTCATGGATCTGGTCGAGGGGATGGCGAGCCAGGAGCCGTGGGGGAGTCCGGCCTGCCGCTTTGTGACGGTCAATGCGATGAGTAGGCGCTATTTCTACGAGGACTGGCCTGAGAAACGTGCGCTGTGGGAGACGTGGGGGGAGACTGCGCCGGTGATGTGCAATGCGGATTGGTATACGCGACGGGGGTACGTGCACTGGAAGACGGAGCCACGGTACCCGGAGACGTTGAAGAGCGGGGAGAAGGTTATGATCTTGGCGGATTTTTTGAGGAAGGCTATTACTCGATAGATGTGAAGCAGGTTTGGGATCGTCTCGGGATGGATGCAAGAGTATGGTTGGGATGTGAGTGACGACGATTGACGATGCGAGGAGATGTACATAGAGTCGCTTGTCCTTGCAGTTCCAAGCAAAGCACCAGAAATACTTTATCCCGTGCAGGGAACCAGTACAAGAGCACTGATAGCTTGAAATAAGCTTTGTCGAGGGATCGGCCTGAAACAAAGCAGTACCCGGATGTGAGATCACAATGTGAGACCCTTGCTTCTACGCCACCATCGGACCATGCATAATATGGATGATCAGTTGAGAGCGCCTTACTGTATACATACATGAGCATCAGCTCATACAGCATCATCTCGTCTGAGTAGAAGATAAACAAGCCGTCCGCCTGCCAACAAAGATATAAAAGGTCTGAACAATCGAGCCTTCTCCGTCATCATCATCAGCGCTCGTCTCTCATCTCAACATACGTTCTCATCTCTCAACCTCCAAGCCAAATCCAACTCCAAAATGCAGTTCTCTACCATCCTCTCCCTCCTCGCCGTTGCCGGTATCGCCGTGGCTGCCCCTCCTGTCGTTCGTACGTCTCATCAAACCCCACAGAGTAACCCACTCAACTAACGGACCAGGCCCCCAATCCAATAACAATGGTGTCCTCGGCCTTAATGTCGCAGATACTACAGTTCCCGTGGACGTCGACATCTCCATCAAGGACAACAACGTCGCCAACGGTTTGCTCGAGGGCGGCGTCAACAACCATCACACCGTGGATGGCCCGTTCAACGTTGCTGCGCTTGGCGAAGCAGACCAGGTTGCCCCCAAGGGCGCATTGCCGCCTTTTTAGATGAAGGTCTTGTACGAAAGGTATGTAGTCTGTGCCTGGCGGGCGATCACGTCTAATGCTAATGGTGTTGGTAGATCGAGACGAGTGGATGCTGATTCGATGTGTAATTAGGTCGCAATGGGGCGGTTATGGTGAAAGTGAGATAGGCTTCTGGCTTCTCTTCACGGTGGACACAATCTAGTAATAAGAGAAATGACTTTGACTGTCAACAGAATGAGTTGAACCTGTAGATCAGTATGTGACTTTGAGTTGGACACAGTAGGAGTTCGGCGCAACACTGACTACCACCAATAATTCTATAACCTTCAATAAAAACAATTATAATGGATTTACACAATATCAATGAAGGTGCAGAACTTGAAGCAGATCTTTGAATCATGCAATGTGCAAACAGCCCTTTCATACCAACCAGGAAGCCCAGTATCTTTCTATGAAACTTAATTCCCGTCTTATTCCGTGCCTTGCTTCGTAATACAGTCAATCAGTCTCATTCAACTATGAAAAAGGTACCAAAATACACCTTCCAGTTAATCAAACATACTCATGAATGGAAATGAGTCAAAATGTAGACATAGTAGAATACATGCTGATCCTATACAGACGAATTCGGTATAGATAGAATGTGGAAGAGGCCAATAATTGCTTTGCAGCATGTAGGAACTGTCGAGTAAGACATACCAAAGGACAAAATAACGATAATAACATTGCAGACCAATCAATAACGACAAATTMCCTGTCAGTTCCTTGTTGTCCATCTGCTCAGTCTTGGGTTACAGCGCTAAGGGCCTACTCCGCTGATAGCCATCGTCCGTCTACAATTGTTTGCTTGGCGGGCGAAATCAGACAATTTGAATGGTAGATATCGTGCTCAAGAGCTATCTCTTGGGTATTCTCCGTCGGGATTAAAATGATACAATCATCTTGGCTCTGGTATGCGGGGTCATTCCCCATATTTAAGGTCGGGGTAGCCAGGCAAAGTAGCTCGCCCTGTCGCCAGCCGCAATCAAAATGAAGGTATGTACTTTATCATACAGAAATGGAGAATGCAAATAGCTGACAATGACAATTAGTGGTCGATTCTTCTTCTGATCGGCTGCGCTGCTGCCATTGACGTCCCACGTCGCCCATATGCCCCCACTGGAAGCGGCAAGAAACGACTGACCTTCAATGAGACGGTCGTCAAGCGAGCCATCTCCCCCTCATCCATTTCGGTCGAGTGGATTTCCACCTCCGAGGATGGAGACTACGTTTACCAAGACCAGGATGGCAGTCTGAAAATCCAGAGCATCGTCACCAACCACACCCAAACGCTCGTCCCTGCGGACAAAGTGCCCAAGGACGCCTACAGCTACTGGATCCATCCCAATCTCTCCTCGGTGCTCTGGGCCACCAACTACACCAAGCAATACCGCCACTCGTACTTTGCCGACTACTTTATCCAGGACGTGCAGTCGATGAATCTGAGGCCCCTAGCTCCAGACCAGTCAGGCGACATCCAGTACGCACAGTGGAGTCCCACTGGCGACGCCATCGCCTTTGTCCGCGGCAACGACGTCTTCGTCTGGACCAATGCCTCGACCAGCCAGATTACTGACGACGGCGGGCCTGATCTCTTCAATGGCGTCCCGGACTGGATCTATGAGGAGGAGATCCTGGGAGACCGCTTTGCGCTGTGGTTCTCGCCGGACGGCGCGTACCTCGCCTTCCTGCGGTTCAACGAGACGGGCGTCCCCACCTTCACCGTGCCGTACTACATGGACAATGAGGAGATCGCGCCGCCGTACCCTCGCGAGCTGGAGCTACGTTATCCCAAGGTGTCGCAGACGAATCCCACCGTGGAGCTGAACCTGCTGGAGCTTTGCACCGGAGAGCGGACGCCCGTGCTGATCGATGCGTTTGATGCGAAAGAGTTGATCATCGGTGAGGTGGCGTGGTTGACGGAGACGCATGACATCGTAGCTGTCAAGGCGTTCAACCGCGTGCAGGATCGGCAAAAGGTCGTCGCTGTGGATGTGGCATCGCTCAGGACCAAGATCGTCAATGAACGCGACGGTACAGACGGGTGGCTCGATAATCTGCTGTCCATGGCGTATATCGGGCCTATCGGCGAGTCCAAGGAGGAGTACTACATCGACATCTCCGACCAGTCCGGCTGGGCGCATCTCTGGCTGTTCCCTGTCGCCGGTGGCGAGCCCATCGCCCTGACCAAGGGCGAGTGGGAAGTGACCGGCATCCTCAGCATCGACAAGCCGCGCCAGCTGGTCTACTTTCTCTCGACCAAACACCACAGCACCGAGCGCCATCTCTACTCCGTCTCTTGGAAGACGATGGCCATCACCCCCTTAGTCGACGACACGGTCCCCGCCGTTTGGTCCGCCTCCTTCTCCTCGCAGGGTGGATACTACATCCTCTCCTACCGCGGGCCCGACGTGCCCTACCAGGACCTCTACGCCATCAACTCCACCGCGCCCCTGCGCACCATCACCAGCAACGCGGCCGTGCTCGACGCCCTAAAACAATACACCCTGCCTAACATCACCTACTTCGAGCTGGCCCTTCCCAGCGGCGAAACCCTCAACGTCATGCAGCGCCTTCCGGTCAAGTTCTCCCCCGAGAAGAAATACCCCGTCCTCTTCACACCCTACGGCGGGCCCGGCGCGCAAGAGGTCTCCAAAGCCTGGCAAGCCCTCGACTTCAAGGCCTACATCGCCTCAGACCCCGAGCTCGAATACATCACCTGGACGGTCGACAACCGCGGCACGGGGTACAAGGGCCGCGCGTTCCGATGCCAAGTCACCAGCCGGCTCGGCGAGCTCGAAGCGGCGGACCAGGTCTTCGCCGCGCAGCAGGCCGCCAAGCTCCCCTTTGTCGACGCAGACCACATTGCCATCTGGGGGTGGAGTTTCGGCGGCTATCTGACGGGCAAAGTCATCGAGACCGACAGCGGGGCGTTCTCGCTTGGTGTGCAGACCGCTCCGGTCTCGGACTGGCGGTTCTATGACTCGATGTACACGGAGCGGTATATGAAGACGCTGGAGAGCAACGCGGCAGGGTACAATGCCAGTGCGATCCGGAAGGTGGCGGGGTACAAGAATGTGCGTGGCGGGCTGCTGATCCAGCATGGGACGGGCGATGATAATGTGCATTTCCAGAATGCGGCGGCGCTGGTGGACACGCTTGTTGGGTCGGGGGTGACGCCGGAGAAGCTGCAGGTGCAGTGGTTTACCGACTCAGATCATGGGATCAGGTACCATGGGGGGAATGTGTTCTTGTATCGGCAATTGTCCAAGAGGCTGTATGAGGAGAAGAAGAGGAAGGACAAGGGCGAGGCGCATCAGTGGAGTAAGAAGTCGGTTCTGTAGATAGAACTCATGTATGCACGTATGCACGTTGGGCTTAGACATGGCAGCAATCGTGTCCAATTTCACTTGCGCATCTTATAGAGCCCAAATATGTCTAGTGCTCCGTTCCTGTAACAAGTCTAGGTGCAAGGCGGAGGCAGTACATCCTTTCCAAGTCTTAAATCAGCCGCTGTGGATGTGCACAGTTGAGGAGGCATATCTCCCACCCAACTTCTGGCATGAGTGAGCATCCACAGGGCTGTAAGCCACCAGCCTGGACTCTTTGCTAGAAAATTGAGTTAGCATGATGATCATGTCTAGAGATTCCGTGGTTTCGGACGCGTACCTGGTCGCCATCTATCGGTATGACTCTCATTGACTGTATGTTCTCGTCAGCTTAGGTGCAAGGTAGTTGGTGTCGTTCCCAAACGGGCAATGTGTCGACAGAGACTAACCTCAATGAAGTTAGACCGGGAAGTGTTATCCCAAAGGGGCAATCAGCTCGACAAAACCTCTGGAAAATGAAAAGACCATTCAGTCTTGATTGATACGTTCAGAGCGATTCTATAGGAAGGTGAATGTTCAGCTACCATCGATTCCTCTCGTCTAAGTAGATTCGGGACTTTGCGACCATGAATTAGTTTGCGAAGCCAGCTTACAGAGTCTTCGGCCATGCAGCATCCCAGCGACGCGTCTGATCATCATAGGCAGCTTAAGCTTATGCTATTCATCAATAATAATAACCGAAATTTCGATCACGATCCAACGTTAGACAGCACTAGCGGGTCGATTTGCTCCGTCAAATCTGTCTATGGCTCGTTTGATAGGCAGAGAGAGACAAGGCAGCACTGAAAGTGGCTATGAGGGGGGCCTAGCGGACGAGGCTCCCCCGCCAGGCGGCCACAACGGTATTTAAATTCCACGAATTCACTCGAGCGACTTGAAATGTGTATCTAATAATAAGCTGTTGTGAAAATGTCTCTTTCTGTGTCAACGGCCGAGATTCTGGTATCTGACCTTCCCACCAAATCGGTCACTCTGACTCCGCTCAGAGCGACTGTGGTTCGCGAAATCCAGACTACTATCCAGGTAAGTGCTTTCTGCGATTTCTAATATGTATACTAATTTGTACAGCCCGGCCAGAATGAAATTACCATCCTTGGGCTCGATCCTCTGGTTGACCCGGATTCCATCCGTGTCGACGGCTCCGGTTCAGCAACCATCACCGACATCCAGACCGACAAAGTTCCTCGCCGCGAGAATTTCGAGGATGTCTACCCTGAAGAGTCGGACAATGAGTCCAGTGAGGCATTAGAAACCGACTCGGATGAAGATTTTGACATCGACGATTCGGAACTTCAGGCGGTACGAAAAGAAATCGCAGAGGTTGAGGCTGCTCTCGCCAAAGCGCGCGGCAATCAATCCATGTCTGTCGCCGTTTCGAATATGATGGAGGGCTACGGGAAGAAATTGAGCATGGAGAATGCGGACGCGGCGAAGCTGAATGATTTCCTCCAGCTTTACGTCCAGCAGCACTCGGTCGAATGCGAACGTCACCACAAGTCGACAGTGGAAATACGAGAGGCCGAGGAAAACCTAGAGCGACTCAATCGAAAGCGAGAACGACTGGAAACCACGTATAACAAAGCTAAGGAGGCTGCTCTGAAGGATGTTCGCAAAGAGCGCAAGAAGCGCCTGCGGGAGCGCGAAGAAAAAAGGAGGAAGCAGCAGCAGTTGCAAAACGAGCGAAGGCGGTTCTGGACCCATACCGTTAGTCAGGTCGTGGTCCATCTCGACAGTCACTCGATGATGACTCCAGGATCGAGCCGTCGCAGCTCGATCGTGGAAAAGGCCGGAAGTAGCACCGATGTTATGGACGTGACACTGCGTCTGACATATGTGATTCCCGGTCCTCGCTGGCTTTCTCGCTATGATCTCAGGATTAGCACTCCTTCTTCGTCTGCTCGTCTGACCTACCGCGCCGAGTTTCACAACACCTGCTCCGAGACATGGCGCGACTCCCAGATCACTTTGTCCACCTCCCAGGCTTCCTTTTCGGGGCTGGAGGAGCGCATTCCTCAATTGCAGGGCTGGCATATCAAGTTGGATCCCAACAACGCAGAACAGCCTTCATGGAACAACATCTTGCGCAGCCTCGACGAACCTGGCCAGCCCCTCCAGGCTCACGCAAAGTTACTTAAACAATCGTTTGCGGAAATGCAAAAGGCAGATCAACAGCGCTTTGCCCCCGGCTCACTGTTTGGTCCACCGCGCCCGGGCGCTCAAACCGTCTTGTTTGGCTCTTCAAGCGCACAACAGCAAATACAAAATCAGCAACAGGCTCCGATCGAGCGGGTGACTGAGCGGGGAGAGAGGTTGGATAGCCTACCTGCATCTGGGTTCGGGATGGCCATGTCGGCACAAAGACCTGCGTTCGGGATGGCCATGTCGGCACAAGGACCGGCAGCATCCCCATTTGGGACCTTATACTCCAACACCGCCGGCTTGAACACCGACGGCTTGAACACCGACAACGAAGGCGACGACGATGAAGAGGACGATGACGAGGATAGCCAAACCCTTGCGGCCGCCAGTCTGGAGCACCAGGACTCCGTCAAACAAGACTACGGATTGACTACGACGTACGATCTTCCAGGTCGGCGTACGCTGGTGCCGTCCAGCGTGCATAGACGGCACGTGCTGGCCGAGCTGGACCTAAAGTCCATGACTCTCACCCACATCATCGTGCCCAAGATCCGCGCGGCGGCCTTCCTTCGCGCCCGCATCCAGAATACATCCTCTGTGACCATCCTCCGCGGCCGAGCGGGCATGACAGTCGACGGCACCTTCCTGGGAACAACCAGCTTGCCCAACTGCGCGCCGAACGATGCCTTCAATATCTCCTTAGGTGTCGATCCGTCTATCCTGGTGACGTACGCGAAGCCGTCCGTCCGCCGCGTCGGAGGCGGCTTCTTCAGCAAGGAGCACACGGCCGTCTTTCGACGGACCTGCTGGGTGAAGAACACCAAGAGCATTGCGGTTGACCTGATTGTGTCCGAGCAGGTACCGCTAAGCGATGATGATAAGCTGCGTGTGCAGATCCTCGAGCCGAGGGGGCTGGAAAAGGAAGGCGATCAGGTGAAGATGGCGATGGAGAAGGGCAGCGGGAGCGTATCACTGGCCAAGAACGGCGAGGTCAAGTGGATGTTGAAGTTGCAGCCGGGCAAGGAGATCCGATTGGCACTGGAATATGAAGCCAGGGTCCCTCAGGGAAGTCAGGTAGAAATTGTCAAATAAGCAATTGCAATCATAGCTAGCTCTATCAATCTATGCGTCATGCGTCATGATATTTACAGTCCAGTAACGTACTATGCTACCAGTCAAAGCTCCCCGGCATGCGCTGCCCACACCCTTGCTCTTTATTCCCTTCCTCCCCCGTCTTTGATTTCTTTTCAACAGCGTCGTCCCCCCACCTCTCCCTCCAACACGCCAATTCCTCCCGCCAGAGATCATTCACGCACGGATCGCACGAGCTCCCACAGCACTCCCCCAGCCCCGGCGGCGGCGGCGGATCATCGTATTCTCGCGCCGCAGCCTCGAGAAGCTGTTTCCGGCGGATGGTGCTCAGCCGTTTGGCGTTTTTGATGCGCGGGACGGACTCGGGGGTGTAGAGGGGTGTTGGCTTCGACTCTCCTGGGCCTTTGAGCGATGTAAGCGATGGTATGAGGGAGGCGAGGGTCATGTCTATCTATGTTGTTAGCTTGGACGAAGTCGACTCCACGTCACTTGCGTCTTGATGGCTTAGACTCCGACTGTACCTGGAAGGAAGAATGATTTCCCGGTATGGTTAGTCAGCTGCTTGGTGACTTTTCGGCAGGGGTTTGTGGTAGTCGGAGAGGGTTGGGATATGTAAAGGGATTCATGATATGGACATGTTTCTTTTCAATTGTCTTCCGTTTCTTCCTAGTATTGTTGAGTATTGGAACTGTTGATAAAGGCCATCATCTCATCCCGGGAGTGCCCGTTACTGTGGAGTGCGGAGTGTGGGGTATCACATCACCATCACCATCATGTTATGGGTTAGTTAAGACAAGTATGGGAGAGCTATAGGTGTCATGAAGTGATGGTTGAGGTATTCTTGAAATCTATCGCTGAGAGATGTCAGTATGGAGTGGCCTAGAGCATGTAAGTGCTTCACGTCGACCTTGGCCTTTTTTGATACCAGTCACGTATGCAAGTCAGAGGTGATATGGGAGAATATATATCACTATTCACTACGGGATTAATTCCTCGAAGAGTGCAATTGTCTACTCTGAAGTCAATATCAACCTTGATCCATCTATAACCAGTCACGCCAATATACATCGATGGTCTACAGTGCCGACTCTCGTCCCACCACCACGATTGACTCTATTCTCTACTATATAGCCCCAGATACTTCACCCTGATCTACAACTTACCTTTCTTGATATTTCCATCCCTTCATCCTATCCTCTCGTGGTATATCACATGACAACCATTACCATAACAACGCGTAGAATATCCCATTCCACCCCTTTCGGAGTACATAAGCAGAAACGCGTGCATAAGAAATATGCACTCATTCTTCAGCTGAACCTCCCTCGCATATGACTGGTAGAGTACACTAGAAAATACCCGGCAATTGCTGCAGACAGCCACGACTTCCCGATCTCGCATCGAATCGGAAATGAGGCCTGCCCGTCGTCCGAAGGTACCCTGCTCCCGTTGCAGGCGGTGACTCGGCAACTGGCAAGCTCTAATGCAATTAGGAGGTCGCTGTCGGGATTCTGCGTAGACTAGTCCTGTACTTTGTTGATGATGCTGTATCAATTGAGCTGAGCTATCACATTCATTGCATATGCGTCCTGCGACCTGTATGTATCCATTTCCGACTAATTTTTGGCTGGTAGCAAACAAGGTGGTGAGTTCGTTTGTGATCCGGATTGCCAAGTCGATTGACCGCGCGCACGGCTGATTCCAGTCAAACTGAACAGACAGCTGACGCAACGCAATTGATGCACTGAATCATTTCTTACGAGAATAATATATTCAAAATGACGGGAGAGGTTTTGAATGCTAATTGTCTGTATTGACAGTAGAGTAGCTGGGATGAAGCCGGGGAGCGCCAGGCTTATCCACCATGGCATTTGACTCCATGAGGAATGTTCCACTTTCTTTACCGAGACACTACAAGTGAGTGTCAAGCTTCCCCAGATTTAGTCCTAGTCTACTGGATGGAATACGAAGAAAAGTGAGGAGCTCCCAGGTGAGTGGCCATTTTAAACTCTATATGTACAGTTTATTTGATTGGGATGATTGCTGGCGGAAAAGTAGTACATGATATATCAAAAAGACCACCACAAATTACCTCTAAAACACACACCCCCCGAGCCAACGCACACAACGCCGGACGGAGAAGTTGAAAGCAAGAAGTTTCGGTCTTGATTTCATCACAGACATGCAGTCGTACGGCAGGAATTTTTTCGATTCGATTCGTTTCGTTCAAATCCAGGCGACGTGCACATCCTTGACCATAGAGGTCACGTTTAGACGTACTTGCACATCATGGCAACCATCAGGTCGAACAGACCGATGGCTTCGACGAAGGCGAAACCCAGAATGGCGTAGGAGAAGAGCTGACCACGCAGAGCAGGGTTGCGGGAGACACCGAGGAGGAGGGCACCGAAGACGAGACCGATACCGATACCGGCACCACCGAGACCGATGGCGGCAGAGCCCATACCCATGTTCTGGGAGACCTGGACCATGGCGTCGGCGATTTCAGAGGAGTACTGGCGGCGGGACTGGACGTTGGCGAAGACCTGGCGAGCGTTGGCCTGGATGAGGCTGGGCTGCTGACGCTTGACGGTCTGGAAGGGGGTCATGGGGATGGCGGTCTTTCTCTGGGTGGTGAAGGTCCGCTTGGGAGCCAGCTGCAGACGAGCGGCAGGGCGGGCAACCTTGGTGGTTGCGGCCATCTGGGAGGCCAGGCGAGAGGCAAAGACACGAGAGGAGGCCATTGTGATTTTTTGTGGTGGTGTTGAGATGAGATGGTCTCAATGAAGGTCAGATGGAGTGTGTGGGAGGAGAAAGGAAAAAAAAGAGGAGAGAAAGGAAAAGGAGAGCTGGGAGAGCTTTTGGGGGGAGAAAAAGGCGGGAGGGCAGGATTACCCAGAGACCCATCTAGGACATAAATACTTCCATGCCGAATTTTCACCAGTCGGTCTTAGTGCGTTGGGAAGCCCTATCTACAAGATTACCTGACCAGGTATCTTCTCTGTTTCATTCCCTCATCGACCAGACAACCTACCTGGCCTTCCCACTCCGGATGGACTTATCGGGTTCGTCCGGGTTATGGCCAAGGTGGCATTTGTCCTGGTACAGCCAATTACCCAGGGTCCTTGCAGGCCGCCAGCTCCGTCGAGTCCACAAGACTAACCATCGTGATCCATCCACTTGACTCTACAATTGAAGTAGCACAGATTTACTCCGTATTGCTATCTTACTACACACTATTTAGTGTCAATTGAGTCATTGACCATAAATCAAAGCAATTGCCAAAAGACTGGCAGAACAAAAGGAGAGCAGAGCTGGAGCTGGCAGCAGCAGGATGGATGACGAATTTTTTTTCTCGTGCTGTGGATCGAATTATGGGTCCGATAATTTGGGTCGGTCCACCCGATCCAGAGCTCTCCGCCAATCATAAGCGCCATCAAAGCAGGCCGCCGTGTCGGAGTCAATAAAACCGGGCCGATTCGGGCTGCGGCTCCACCAGAACCGGAGTTTGCACGCCAGAATCAGCCAGAACAGGAAGAGAGCAGCCACTGGTTTCGGCTGGAGGGAAAAATAGTCTTCTTGTTCCGAGGGAAACTGCCCAATGTCTCACCGACTGGTTTGCTGCTCCCACCTGTTGAAAATTGAGAACAAGGCTGGTCCTGAGCAGCTCACCCAGCTCTGGCGTGCAAAGTGGCCTCTGTAGTGACCAGAATCGAGAGGTCGAATGCGACTCATCCGAGGGAGCTGCACGGGTTATATATCCCTGGATACATCAGAGGGTTCGCCCTGTTTCGCCTTTCTCCGAAGCAGGCTAGAATCCTCCGTTGTTTTAGCCGGAAATTTCTGCGGATAGATCATCCTGAGGTCACCGACAGTTACCGCACCATGGAGGACATGGTAGCTACATGTTGTCGCTAAAACAGTTGATATCAATCTCTTGCCATTACCAAACCTATCTACAGAGCTTCTGAATATCAAACACTGATCAATTGATACTGTGATGTTGAAAAGGAGGAAATTAGCAGTAGCGTCCTGCAGGTAGCCTCACCTCTCAGCCTCATTTTCCGGCAGCTGATCATCATGACCTGGCAATTGCATATGCAGCGTTACGTAATCGATCACTGTAATTATTCCCTGCCAGTGCTTGAAGCATGCGCCCATGTGCGTACAGGGATGGCATTCCTTTAATGCTCTTAAAGCTACCGACTCTGCCGACTTTCTCCGATGATCGCTCAACGCTTTTCAAGAATATCTACCTACATGAGTACAGGTGTTGGAGTATATTGATATTCGATAGATCATGATGTATGAATTGCAGCATTTGAGCTGTAAATATTCAAGATATTTCTGATACTAGAGAGTGGTTTATTGCTATGGTATTGGTGACTTCGATCGGAATGAATCGGACTGCTTGTGCCTGAGGCAGCTAGGCAGCTTATTACCTGTTTTGGATTGCTGCGGAAGCTTCAGCCGAGGTCACAATTCGGCAGCAGCAGATATATCGATTTAAAGAAGCTGCATAGTATATTTTATCTGCTACGGAGTACAAAATTATTGCTCGTACTACCATGAAGTAGTAGACGATGCTAATTGACATCATAAGATTGCAATCAAAGTACCATTGGCAAGGTCTTTAGCCGACCTTATGATTATATTACTAGTCAACAGTTGGTTTTCATCCGGATAATTAATATCTAGATATTGACTCAATTACTCCGTACAGTAATTAGTGTCCTTGTTATAGTGTATAGGAAACGTACTAGCGTTATTCTTGGGATGGTGCTTCAAAACAGTATGAAGTCGGTTATATATTTTCGGCTGGATCTTGACTATGATACCAGATAGGATAAGATCATGGAACCACAATGACACCTACTAACAACAGATGTTTAATTTAACCATTCAGTCTATTTAGATGGTTCCAGAGACCCATATTAGATCAGCAGATGCAACTACTACAAGTGTCAAAAGACGGATAATTATGCTTCTCTTGCTCCATCTATATCAACACATTCGACACCTGACGTACCGGAACATCAGTAGTAGAAGACAAAGATCATGATGCCAACATGGGAGACTAATAATCAAACTCATCACCTCTAGGTCTCATTCTTCGACTTTTATATGATCCCTCTGGCTTCAGACACCTCCCTCAATGAGGTAGTCATGAGCTAAAGCAGTCACAAAAGGATGTTTGATATGCATTGTACGTCTGCCAACTCTGTGGTAATCACTGCATTCATGACCACTAACATTATTCTAGACCGTAGTCAATTGGAAATGGCTGCCATTGCTCTCTTAGTGCGCTATTGCCTAGTTGATTGAATCAAGGGCGAGGGCTAATGTCTGGCTATGATGCCACTGGAATGCCAGACTGAAACGGCGCATTCCATGACAAATCAAACAATCTCATCAACAACACGCTACTTTCTGCCTACGACCCTTCTGCTCCCCGGGCAAAACCCCAGACTGACCATCAGAAGCTGCTTCCCCAGCTGGCACCTTATCTCCCTTCAGCCAACAACCCTCCATCACTGCAAACCATGTTCAAAACTCATAGTCCTCCACTCAAGGAACTTGATCAAAGATCTTTCTAGGGGAAGTATGGGCTAGCGTGATACAGATGAAGACATTCTCTTGTTTGTGGAACAGTCCAAAGGATGATTTCTGGTACAGTACGCTTCACAGATACGGATCTGATGTTATCCATGAAGAGCGAGGATGATCAAAGCCAGTTGCTCCCCGAGGACAAGGTCCGATCGAACGGACACATCCCCCTTGTTGACAGATACATTGATCTCCATGCCTTCTGCGGACTACGAGTCAGTGGCCATGGTGAGCGATTTCATCCACTTCTCCCTCCATTATCGACGCTTCGCATTCCACCGATCGACCCCTTGACGCACAATGTCCCTCTACATCACTGTCCGACTCGATCCTCGGTGTAACCTTCCAATAGCAGGCCCCATGGCTTTTGAGTTTATGAAGAGCTGACATACAGATCGATCCAGGGGCGTCATTTCAGCTTTTCCACAACATTCTTGGCGCATTGTGCTTAGGTCATCCGCTGGGCATAGGCCAACCTTTGGCATTAAAGCGTCAACACTATTAATAGGCGTCTTGAAAGGACGAAGTCTCAACATCAAAATAAACAAACAATCTCATTCACTAGTATAATAATGCCGGTGCGACTGAGCTGGCTTCTGAGCCCGGACTCTATCCCCAACCTTCTTGCACCACCGCCATCAACATGACATCTGTCACTGCGAGTCCCCCTGTAGGAGCTCAGGGCTCAAAAGCTTCATCACAACAGGCCCCAGGGCGATCGTACGATGATGGCATGTACCATTCAGGTAATGTTCGACTGGCTGTCGCTGCAGATTCTCCCAATGAACTTGGCAACACGGAGACGAAGCCGATCGCGACAGCAGACGCATTGCTTGACCCACAGGGCTCGACCGACCCTGGAATGCTTCGTGGAACAATAACAGACACCCTGCCCGACCCCAAGGCCGCCGTTGTAAAAGCCGCGACCCTTCCGTCAGAAGCCCCCCTGGATCTGCGACAAGGACATTTCGACCATCCGCTTCAACTTGTTATCACGATGACTACCACGACAACAGCCTCTTTGTCCACCCCATCCTCGACCACATCTTACGACTCTACGATCCCTACTACCCTTCATACCTCCTCGATGCCGACCTCCACCCAGCCTAGCTCCACCACCAGCGCCTCCAATTCCGCCTCCACTACAGCCTCCGCCGCCCTTCACTGGGAGAACATGACCCCTGGCGCGCAAGCTGGGATTGTCATCTCGACCCTGAGCCTTGCGGTCATGCTGATTGGGATGATCTTCTGGTGGCTGCATCGCAAGAAGCGGAAGCTGCTGAGGGCCATCCGAGGCGAAGAGGCCCCGCCCCCGACGGAGAAGCCAAATCCTGCGTACAGATTCGCGTCAAATCTGTACACAAGCAGCGCCTCCACGCTGGTCAATGTAACGGAGATATTCAAGGCCAGCAGGGAAAAGTCGCCGTCCATCAATGACAGAAGCAGCAGCATTTACTCCAACAACCAGACACGAAGCAATCTGTTCACTCTCGCAGCGGACAAGGTCAGACCATTACGGGGTAAAAAAAAATCTCCCGACAGGCGCAGCCGCTATTCCCACGGCTACATCTTTGCACAGGAGTTCGAGCACATGCCCCCACCGCCGCCGACGCGTCTGCAAAAGATTGTCGCCGGTCTATACGCCAACGGTTCGTCGACGGTCAAAACAGTAGCGGCAACGTTCAAAACCCAGGCTCCACCGCCGCAGAAAGACAACGCGTCCTCAACGTGGAGCTCCATGAGCAGTCGCACCCCATACGCGTGCGCCTACGACAGCTACCCGCATGTGCATCAGTTTCAGCCGCCATGCGACATCAGCGATGATCTGGACCTGGTCAAGGTGCAGAGTGTCTCTTCTGGCACTGTCGCCATGAGTAACCCCGCGGAGATCGGCGTCGACGCGCTGGCGGGCCGTATCTCGGGAGAAGGCGAGCGACAGCAGGAGGCTGTCAGGGAGTCGAGCCCGTGGCCGTCGCAGTCCACCACAGCTCCATGCCAGCGGCGGTCACCACCACCACAGACCTCGCGGGAGGGAAGCCCCGCGCATTCCGGGCGAGCGCCGTCGGTAAAACTGTGGACAAAGCAGGTGTACCGCGTCGAAATGAACTTTGTGTCCCGCAGCGACGGCCAGCTGCAGGTTGGCGAGGGACAGATGGTCTGCTTGGAGCAGATCTTTGACGATGGATGGGTAAGTTTAGTCCAGTCGCCGGTTACTCCAGTTCCTCCTGTGTAAATGGACTAACTCCTCAGGCACTGTGCACCCTGACCGACACCGAAAGGCAGGGCCTCCTCCCCCGCGCCTGCCTCTCCACCTGGCCCATCAAGGAACGCCGGCACTATGCGTCCAGTGGCAGTACCTCAGAGCCTGCCAGGGGCGTCTCCCCCACAGACTCCCAGTCCTTCCGGTTCTACCGGCAACAGTCTCGACCGGGGACCCCAAAGCCAGCCCCCGAGTCCAAACCACCGAGCGTGATGAAGCAGTCGATCTCGCCTACGCTGTCGACCTTCTTCCGTCTGTAGTCTGCTCCGCTCAGTCCTCTTCTTGTAGATATTTCGCGTATATGTTTAATGGACTGTACTTTGCAGTCATAATTAAGTCATGTACATATCAAGAAGCCAGTTCGAAGCGGCTCCGCGCCGGCTTCGCAGACAGTTCGCTCGGTGGTGCGAAAGCGCACGTCTCAAGTTCCGCTCCTCTGGCTCTGGCTCCACTTGTTCGGAATGTATTCTTTTCACTTTGACTTGGCCCTCGGGCTTTGGCGTTAGCTGCGCCTCTCCGTGCCCTGAGTAGCAGTGCGACCAGCACGATGATGATGATCCCTGCTCCCGCCGCGCCAACCGCAATGCCCGCCTTTGCGCCTGTCGACAGGCCTTTTGCTCCCGTTGCTGCGGTACTCGAAGATGTAACCGTCCCCGTCGGTGCCCCAGCCAACGTTGAAGTCGAACTCGAACTCGAACTCGCAGTCGCAGACGCAGACGCAGACGGAGACGCAGAAGCAGGCGCCGCCAACTCAAACGTTCCACCCTCGCAACAATCGCCCTGACTTAAACTCCGCTCATCATCATGACAACAGTAGCTCGTCAGCGCGGCGTTACACGCCCAGATATACTGACCGCGATACGAATCATCTACTGTCATCAACACAGCCAATTCTCGTCAGTGGGTTTGAGCGGAGGAAACGTACACGTCGTACAAGCTACAGAACACCCCTTGTAGCTCTTGTCCTGGCAGGAGGGGGTATAGTAGAGCCCGGTGTAATTGTATGCGTGTCCGTCCGGGAAATCAGTCAGCGAGCCGTTGGCGTGGTTGTTCTTGTCGCGGCAGAGGAGGTTGTCGGTGCATGTTGCGCTGGAGGGGCAGCAGGTGTTGGCGTTTGGGCAGGGGGTGTCGTCTGCTGCGTGGGTGCCGTTGCGGTAGTAGTTGCTTTGGTTCGGGCCTGTACGGCTTGGAATCCAACCTGGCTATCGTCATTGTACAGTTTGAGAGGATATCTCACACCTCAATTGATCGCAAAGCCTCAAAAGTTCGATCATAGTTGGGAGTGAAACCCGGACAGACGAGAATTGGCAATGCAAGCTTGAAGATAATTTGTCTTATCTGTGCAAGTGTACAATCAATCGCATCATTATATACAAGGTTCGTCATAACGCATTGGTCAGCTATATCGGAAGCACATCCTGTGCAACATGACCACCTGTTTCAGTCCACGTCGTAGTTCCGCTCTCCTCTGTTATACAAAGCTTTGATGGCAACATTCATTACGTCCATGAATTTGTCATGTTCGAGATAAACATCACTGGTATGCCACTCGTCGCGCTTCAAAGTTTTAGCCGGCTTCGTTGCGTGAGCGCTGAAATACAAATGTCCAAGTAGCGAAGCAACGTTGCGAAAGCCCTTGTGATTCAAACCCGGCGGGAGAATCTCGACCATCACAGAGCCGGACGGGAGGAAGATACCGTGCGTGAGGCCGGCGCCGTGCACGCCCACCAAGATATCAGATCCCTGAGCAATCCTCAGCTGCTCATGGAATGGAATGCTGGCAAAGTCAATCATCTGTACCGTGACATGGGGAAATCGCTCTTCGACTGTTTTGAAGTAGTCCTCCTGATTGATCAGCTTTCGGCTTCCCGACCGGTCGATAAAAGTCAACACGATCTGCGGGCCCTGTCGGGGTCGGCGAAGTTCCACATGGAAGTGAGAGAGGACCCGTCTGGAAAATGTACGGACCAATGCAGAGTCTTCGCATGAATGGATCTCCCAATCACCCTGCCAGAGGGGGTTCGATCCGCCAGCCAGGGGCACGATCAGGTTCTCGAACTCGTTGGTCGGAGGCAGATCGCCGACTCGGAGTGGCGGCCGCTGAGCGAAAATCTTCCACAGGTCAAAGTAGGGCCCATCCTCGATCTCATCCAGGATGACGACCTGTGTGTTTTCGATGTCACCAATACTGAAAAGTGCCGTGTGCGGGTTAGGGCCCGCAGTCATGCGCAGAACATCGATGGTCATGGTCATGGAAAAGATCTCCATGAGAGAATGCCAGACGTTCCGCGCCCCTTCTCGCTGAATGAGGATCGTGTGGTTTGAAACTACGGGAGGAACGGTATGATCTAGCTTGTCCTGGAGGGAGACTGCCTTTTGGAACACGACCCCAGGGCCTGTCTCGTACCAATAATTGTGAAATTTTTCGAAGAGGGGTACGTTCTTGCCATCTAAATCTCGCAGTTGACAGTCCATGATAAATAGTCGCTGAGCAGGATCGTATACAGCTCCGCGCCCGAAGCAAAACGTGTCGACTCGGGAGTCCGACGCTGTTTGACTATGGAAGCAGGTCAAGCCTGAAGGCGAGTCTGCAGTGCAGTACTCGGTTTTCGAGTCGCGCAGCTTCTCCAGATACGTAATACCGAATCGATCTGCGCAGTAGGATGGCTCATCGGCCACCGCCGAATATTCAGCGGGCAGAGTAGGCGTCTGTTCTGCGTTTGGGAGATGGTCCTTCGTATCGGAATCATTTCGACGAGGGCCGGGTGTGGAAGCTGGCAGCGGAGAATATTGAAACGGCGTCCTTGTAAGTGTTACATGCAAGAGGAAAAGAACAAAAAGCACGCCAATCACAGTGGCAGAGAGCCGTTGGACCCGACGCTGGGAACTGAGGCTTAACCAGGACATGAGACTCTGGTAGCAATAAGTTTAAACGGAGACATCAGCCAAAAGAACAGGTGGACACTGAGAGGAGGCCATCATGAGAAAGCTGAAAGTGGCGGCCTCGATTTCAAATGACCATTCTGCCTAGTGCGCCAAGAAGATATGGCGAGAGAAAGAGGGGGCGCTGAATTGCAGTTCGGACTTTTAGGCTGTGGAGTGTGGAGCCCGTCTATCACGGAAAAGTAAGCATGCACAGAGGTCCGTCAATCTCGCTGCGGCATAGCTAGTCTTGATAAGGAGATAGAGAGGCGATCAGCTGCTCAGCAAGGCCCCTAGTTCCTGATGCCAACACAGCTAACTCAGAGAGGTTCATGATTGGGCTTGTTTCAACTTTCGTGGTGGCTGCTAAGTCTGCTAATTAATTAGTATCAGAACATATCCTGGTCATTCAAGGCGAATCATGATGCGTGACTATCCGCCGGGCATCATTGTGGGGCATTGCTCAGCGCCAGGGTGTGATATGGCCTGGAGGGTGCAGATTTGAACCATTGAGACAGGCACGCTGCTTCAAACAAACCAGGTGCAACGATGGGGATTTCCAAGGTCGCAGGGAGAAATCGAAATAGAGAGGAAGAAGATGCCGTTTTCATCAGTGTGGGGTAAATAGGGAKGCACGCGCCCATAATTATTATAAAGGGTATCCGGGCAAGCCGGGCTAATAGGCTTACTAATACTATTCATACATAGACACGTATTATCAAATGAATCCCCAATACAAATGTTGCACTGTTGTATGGTATGATCTCTTACACTCGCGAGGCTCTCCCAGTATGGAATATGATAATATCTACTCGTTGAAGGGGCGAGAATGGTTGATCAGATTCTATTTACGCGAGTAGCATTTCTCATAATCAGGCTACAGACAGGGCTCTCTGGACTTTAGTGCTGATATCCTTTCCTGTCCTGATCTCTTGTCTCCAAGCGGCCACACATAGTCACAGCACAGACTTGGAGTGATACAAGAGAATATCAGGAGGACTCAATCCACTTCAGCACTCACAAATTATTATCATTCATGGCAAAAACAACCGACATACTACCTTAAGTAGCGCGCGAGCTACAGTCTATCGAGTAAGAGAGACCTAATTGCCTCAGTAAGGCCCCACTTCCTACTTGCCATTGACTCGTTTGGACCATTATTGTCCCATTATTTATATTACCATCGCGGCCCGCTCCCAGTGCAACCTAAAAAGTACAAGGACGGCGGCGCCAGCCATCAAAACCCTTGGCAGCTTGGGCCAATCATGACTGTGCGTAGAGCGGCGCAGTCAACTCGCGTCGTGGCGGTAAATCTGGAACAGGAAAGTTGTTGGGCAGGGTAATTTTATTAATAGGAAATAAAGTACAGAGTACTCCTTAATCAAACACTGGCTCAGTGGATTGGCTAATAGATGTGATAGCGCGATGTATCCTGGCAATATTTGTCCTTAGGCGCTTTACGGTCCTGGCGCATAACCCGCCTGGCCATCTTCCTCGAACAGAAATTCGGCGACGTTGAATCAGACCCTAGAAACTAGTAAGACAGCCTCGTGGCAAGGCCCAAAACTTTCTTCCTTATGCTCCGTGCCTTCTTGTGTTATGTGTAACTATTCAAAACCAATCTGAGGATGCTCGAGATGCCGGATGATGGAATATTGTTTTCTGCTGCTCCCTCGAGCTCCTGTTTGTTCTCGTTTCTTCTCGTCCTGCTTCTCATGGTTTCCTCTGCTGGTGCGGATTGCGTCCCATCCCCGTTCAGCGTGCGGGTTGGCAATGTGTCTCTCCCCAACAATCAAGTCGCCCGCGGGCTCGACATCGCTGTAGGGGTACCTGCTCAGCCGTTTGCCTTCCTTCCGCAGTGGTAATTTGATCCATAACAGAATCGCACTCGTGAAATTACAATGCCTATGGCTAACATGTTCCAGGCCACTGAACAACACATTCGTCTACCCCACGGGCTGGAACTGCGGCACGGACTGGGCTGAAGCGGGCTGCATGACCTTCCGCGGAGGGTTGTTCGATAAATCAAAGTCCACTTCTGTGGGAGCGACCTCTACAGACTCTTATCCGACAGACAGTTCGCCATATCCCTATCTAGAAATATTTAGTGATACCCTAACCCTCACACCCAGCAGCATCAATGTGACCAAATTTCCTCTTGGAATGCCGAAGGCAGACTGGGGAGAGGAAGGATACCATCCGCAGGCGGCTATAGGACTGGGCCGCAACTCCACCTTGTTGAATGCTCTCGTCAGCACTGGCAAGATCGCCTCAAGATCCTGGGCCATGTTTTGGGGCCGTCAAGGAGCGACAGCAGACGCACAAATGGACGGCAACTTTGTGTTTGGTGGCTACGACCGCGCCAAGGCGTCTGGGACCAACTTCACCCAGGGCTTAGTCTATTCTAACCCGGCGTGCAGCACTGGCATGTTGGTAACCATCACAGACATTTCATTGAACTGGAAGAATGGTACGACCACAAGTCTCTATGATGGGAGCCAGTCGGCTGCCATGTCGGCATGCATCGTTCCGGATTACCCTGTCTTGATGACCATCCCTTATGAGCCATATTTCAAACGATTCACGGCCATCACGAACGACAGCATTATATCATTTGGCCGCTCGTTTGGCATCAATTATTATGGGATGCTGTATGCTTCGGGTAAAAGCCCGTGAGTTCACCAGGCTTTAAATTCGAGTGTGGATGAGGCGCATATGCTTATAAAGAAAATACAGATACTCTGGCGACCTGTCCATCACCCTTAGCTCAGGTTTGAAAGCGCGCATTACCAACGATCAGCTCGTCATTCCTAACCTCACAATCGACAAGACTTCTGGAGCGATCTTGGCCAACGCGTCCGCTCCCGAGCTTGTACTCAACTCCATGCAACAAGTAAACGCCGGCGATTTGCCTCAGCTAGGCCGTCAATTTCTCAGTAGTGCCTACGTCATGGTCAACCAAGACGCCGGCCAGTTCACCCTGTGGGCAGCCAAGCCCACAACCGAGGAGGATCTTGTCGCTGTCAATTCGGACAATCGCGTGTACAGTTCCTTTTGCGCGCCAGGAGTGTCCAATCTCGTCGGTGCCACCCAAACCACCGGCACCACGAGTCCCACTCAATCGGCCGCGTCTAATAGCAATACGGAACAGTCTCAAAGCACCGGACTATCCTCTGGGGCGATCGCTGGCATTGTAGTAGGGGGAGTGGCTGGTGCAGCCTTGGTCGTCGCTGGTGTATTCTTCGCAATCATTAAAAGAAGAAGAAGAAGACAGACGAAACCGTCACCCGAGATTGCGGAGGCCTTCAGCCCCCCAAAGGTGGTTGACCAGACACCGCGTGCCCCCCAGGAGCTCCCCGGACACTTGCCAAATGGAAGTACTGAGAGATGGGAGTTGGAATGAGCCCTTCCACGGCCGCCGGTAAACGAAAGTAAATATTGCATTGACTATACGACTCTTTCTGCATATAATCTCTTGTATAATAAGATACTGTTCTTATCCCTCTAATGTTTTGCTATTTGCCCAAAGTTAAAGTTATTAGCTGGTGTATCCGATGGCTCGCCAGGACCGAATGCAGCTGGTTGGGGCTTCTTACAGGTAAAGAACTTCCCAGTCTATCTGGATAGTCTAATTTTGATCCATCTCGAGCATATTAGTCTACTGTGCGAGAATGCTACATTTCCTCGGGGAAACAGTTGCAACAGGATAAAAGGCGAATGTTTTCGTGAACTTTTCCGAAAAACGCAACAGTCCGTTGCTTGCACTGTGTCATTAGACTGCTGGCTATTATTCCATGCCTGCTTTTATTTACGACGTGAATAATGGAACCTCCAGGGCCAAGTTCGATGTAGGTTGCCTTGGTCGTTTGTTATTTGGTCGATTGGATATACTGACGAGGCAGCCCATCCTGATGAGCTATGCTCAACCCTCCGCTGTGGCTGAACGGACAAAAATCTCGCGTTATATGGCAACCTGGGCAGATTCATTACTGAGAGAACTGTTCGCGCCGACGGGAACCTCATCTACAACCGCTAGCACTACAGAGACGAAACACGGTCATGGTACGCCTGTAGGGACTATAGTGGGCGGTGTCATCATCGGATTTGCACTCATCATTATTGTTATAGTAGTGATAATTATGAGACAGAAGAGGAGGAGTCCAAAGAATGCAACAGAAAAAGGGTGCTTGCAAACAATAGAGCTGCATGGGTACAGTTTACCTGATGAGCTTGATGGAAATCCAAGACGGAATGAGTTGTGTGGTAGTTCGAGATATGTCTTTGAGCTACATGGTAATTAATTGAATCTCCTCCTTCTAGTATTCATTGTTAGTTCTGCGGCAATAGACGCCTTGGAGAACCAAACGATAAAAGTTCCTAGACTTCATCTCGATTTATGGTGTCTTTGCGTGCAAAACGCGTAACAGCCGGTGTAGGTACCTCCCTTTGCCAAGGAACAGACGCGCCGAAGGAGCGCTCATCATTCACAACAATTTTCAAAGACTACTGTGCATTATCGAGGAGTGTGTAATTTTCATAGCTGACTTTTAGTTGATCCTGAGTCAGTGTCATGAGGAGAAGTATATCTTCAAGTTTGTTGGTGATCAGGTCATCTACTTTCTGCTTCCACTCTGCCTGCAGCGCGCCTGGGACATTACCACATTTCAGAGCCTTCACAGCTACAGGTAGTACAGGTGAGTATATACCCATCGATGATGTTGAAAAGCTCGAGCGATACCGTCCAGGAGGGTACCATCCGATAACCATCGGAGCATGACTGAATGATCGATACCGCATCGTCCATAAGCTTGGCTTCGGCTCATACTCCACCGTCTGGTTAGCAAGGGACCAAGAGGCTGAAAAATATGTTGCCATCAAGATCACAGTCGCAGCAGGTGGTCCAGCTGATTCCCAAGAAAGCAACATTCTCCGTCAACTAGGCGTCGCAGGATTGAGAGCGAAGCCGCACGCCGGGGCCGCATACATACCTCGCATACTAGATGAGTTCTCCATTTCCGGACCCAATGGGATCCATCGGTGTTGTCACCGCACCGGGGATGATGAGCCTTGCTGAAGCCAAAGATGCCTCGACTGCTCGACTCTTCCAGCTGCCTGTGGCCAGAACCATCGCGGCACAACTGGTCCAAGCCGTGGCGTTTCTGCACTCGCAGGGGGTTGTCCATGCGGGTAAGTAGCCCTCTAGTTCTTCATCTCCCTCACGCTAAATCTCGCAGATCTTCACGCTGGCAACGTCTTACTCCGTCTCCCCGAGAGCATGGATGCTCTCTCACCAGAGCAATTGTAGGAACAATGTGGACACCCTCATACAGAGCCTGTGGAACGTCTAGATCAGCGCCCGCTCCCCAATGGTGTCCCAAGCCATGCTGTCGTGCCCGTCTGGCTAGGGAAAGCGAGCGAGCATATTTCTCCATCAGAAGCTCAAATAGTCGTCACTGACTATGGAGAGTCCTTTACGCCGGCTACAACAAGGCGGGATTACTCTCATGCTCCAGCCCTTTTGGTCCCTACAGAAGTTCATTTCGAACCTCAAGAGCCGCTTTCGTTTCCCGCTGATATATGGACGCTTGCGTGCACTATCTGGGAAATTATAGGACAGCGGCCGCTGTTTGAGGGATTTAATCCGTCAGTCGACTGGGTCATCAGAGAACAGGTGGATGTGCTCGGCAAGCTGCCTCTGGAATGGTGGGCGAAATGGAATTCCCGGACAAGATGGTTCAACGAAGATGGAACACGACACAGCGGTGCCAATCCAAGAACCTGGGAGCAACGATACAGCGACTCGGTGCAGGAGCCAAGGCAGGAGGCCAAGATACAAGTGGTGGGAGAGGAGGAGAAAGCTGCCTTGCTGGCCATGTTGAGAGCTATGCTTGCGTTTCGGCCCGAGGAGAGGCCACCTGCGAAGGAGGTTATGGACTGTGAATGGATGCAAAGATGGGCTCTTCCTGAGCTTGCAAAGTGCAAATGAATAGATGGTAATATCCATGTATTTGTATATCTTATCCTCTTGTACAGTGATTTATTTGCTCAGAGGCGAGGCAGTCCTGAACCCTGACCTGCTACTGGGGGTTACGTGCCTATAAGATGAGTCATGATTTGTCTGGCAGGATACTCCGCGACCAAGTCCACCAGATCCAATGCTTGACGCCAACTGAACGAAGAATCTAGACAAGAAGGTTGTTTAAATTGATTCCTTTTTGATTCGGGCCCGCCCGGATTTCCGCAAACGTCTGGGGAGCGGGGTATTAAAGAGGGAAGAGACCGTGCTGTAAGTTGTAAGCCATCTTGACCTTTTATTCTATTCTGCAATCTTGATACATGAAAGCTGCACATACTATTACCATGGCCAGCATTGAGGAAAGAGTGAAGAAAATCATATCAGAACAACAGAATATAAATGAACAAGAGGCATTCACCAACCTATTTATCCAGCTCAATTTCTTAACTCCAACTGACGAGTTGACTTATAGATAAAGCCGGATTCCGCGTTTATAGATGATCTGGGCTGTGATTCCTTGAGTGTAGTTGAACTACAGTTCATAGCAGAAGAGGTATGTATATATAGCAAGTGCCCTTAGCAACATAAAGATTAATCAATACACAGGAGTTTGGGATTAAGATGCCAGATGTGCCTAGGGAGAGGATTGACCATGGTAAGACACGTACTGTCCAGAATGATCTGTACATGTTATAATCGGTCTTTGATAGTTCGTGATCTTGTTGATTACATCAATCAGCTACAAGAGTAGTTGATTAGAGATACATTTAAGAGGTATTACGCTGTAGATAATCCTGGAAATAAGCTTTGTTGATGCGGGGAGAATGATGTTGTGATGTCATTTGGACATCCTCCGCCATATAAACGATAATGATGCTCATAAATGCTGCCTTGACTCAACTATTAATATTATTCCACATGGCTAAGCAACACTCTGATATTCCTCATGCCCGATCCTCCAGATTACCCTCCAGCCCGCGCGCTGTTCAATTTCTCCCCACAATGGTTCCTCATTCCCCAAGGGACCGGCATCATCTCGGTCATCCTCCATCAACTGCACTACCAGTTCGGCGCATTGCGTATCCTAGCCAAGATCGTCTGGATCTACACAATTGTGCTTCTCGCCATCGCGCTCTTCCTCTACATCCTGCGTCTCATCCGCTACCCCAGGGAAGTCCGCTACGAACTGCGCCATAACCTCATCGAAACCTCCTGCCTCGCCAGCATCGCCATCACCTACACAACCATCATCCAGATGGTCGCGCTGCAATACGGCAGCACCCACGGTGTCGCAGTCGGCGTCTACGTCCTCTGGTGGATCGACGTCTTCCTTTCCACCCTCGCCATCATCGCCATCCCCTACGTCCAACTCAAACTCCAACCCAGCGGCCTCGAGCGCGTCCCCCCAGCCATTTTGCTCCCCTTAATCTCCGCCCTAACCTGCGCCGCAGGCGGCGGCGCAATCTGCACCTCCGCCGCGCTCAGCCCCCGTCTCCAAGTCCCCATCATCATCGTCGCATACCTCCTCGTCGGAGCGGGAATTGCCCTCGCACTCGGCTTCGACGCCGTCATCCTCTTCCAGCACTTTTCCGACCAGCAGCCCTCGACCCAAAAAGTGTGGCAGGATATGATACTCTGCGGGCCATTCGGGCAGGGCGGCTTCGCGCTGCAGATTCTGGGGAGTGCGGTGCAGAAGAGCTTCCCTGCGTATGCGCGGGGAACGCTGTTGACCGCGCAGGCGGCGGGTCCGATTGCTGCGGTGAGTCAGTTTGCAGGGTTGTTGTCGTGGGGATTTGCGACGTTTTGGTGGTGTTTTGCGATTATTAGTATTCTGCATACGTTGGCGGCCCAGCCGAGGGGCTTTAGGAGTACGACGTTTAGTTTGGGGGCTTGGTCGTTGGTTTTTCCTTGGGTAGGTCCTCCTTTCTTTTGCAAAGGACTGCTAAGAGATACTGACTGGATAGGGGGTTTATACGAACTGTGCGGTGCAGCTGGGGACTATTATGGATTCGCCTGCGTTTGACGTGTGGTCGACGGCGCTGCTGCTGATGCTCGTGATTATTGCGATTGTGAATACGCTGTTTACCATCAAGGGGATTATTTCTGGGAAGGTGCTGGGATTGGAGCATGGGTGGAGAAAGCAAGCATATCAAGAAGACAAGGAGGCTTGATGTATCTGTCTATATCATTGTATATATTGAATAGTCTATATCGACTTTGTCTATATTGAAGTATAGCCAAACCCAATGTGCCACCATTTGCGGGGTGAATTGCGAGATCATCTTGGCTTAATACATATACACAGACTCAACACCATCTCAAACTCAGTTCTACAGTATCATCAGTATCATCATCAAAATGACCAATATAGCAGACATCGAAGCCGCCAACGCGCAGTACGCCGCCTCCTTTACCAAGGGCCACCTCCCTATCCCTCCAAAACGGTACGTACCCTACTCCTCCCCAACTGCTATCAAACTTACAAACCTAGCAAACTGGCCATCGTCACCTGCATGGACGCCCGCATCGGTACCCCTCTCTTCTCTCGTTCTTGTCGTATTTACTACTAACGGGGTAGACGTCTTCTCCGCCCTCGGCCTCACCGAAGGCGACGCACACATCATCCGCAACGCAGGCGGACGAGCCAGCGAAGCCCTCCGCAGTCTGATAATTTCGCAGCGGTTGCTGGGGACGGAGGAGGTGGTTATCATTCATCATGTATTCCTCCGTCCCTTTCCATTCCTTCTTTCCGTGACTACTGTTACTGACGACGATAGACGGATTGCGGGATGCTCACGTTCAGCGACGAGGATATCAGAGCGAAGATTAAGGAGGAGCTTGGTGAGGATGCTTCTGACATTGAATTCCTGCCGTTCAAGGATCTGGAGGAGAGTGTGAGGGAGGATGTGAGGTTCTTGCGGGGGAGTAGGCTTGTGCAGGGGGTTGTGAACGGGTATGTGTATGAGGTGGAGAGGGGGAGGTTGGTTCGATTGGAGGTTGATTGATATGCATGTATGAGGGATTTAGGATGGCCAGTGATTATCAGTTTGAAGGATTGGTGACGTGGCTGTCAATCAATCAGAACCTTTCCACTACATATCTATCTATCTATCTGCCTAGCCCTGTCTATATCTACACCTACCTACAGATAAACCCCCGACATTAAGCCAGACTCTTCTCCACCTTCCTCCCGCCCACCCGGCGGAAATACACCCTCTTGGCAAACTTCCACAGTTCCACCCCCAGGAAGAACAGCACCGCCTCCACAAACACAATCCCCCATTCCCACGAGATCCCCGTATGCTTAAACACTACATGATTCAAAACAGGAATATACAGGATCGGAAACGTAGTCACGAACCCCGCAACAATCGACCAGAACAGGAACTGGTTCCGCCAGATATCATACATCCACTGTGTAAGGTATTTCTTCGACCCGGGCTGCATGCGGAAGAACGACCGCCGCATGTCGACCATCTCCCACGCCAGGAACAGCGCGAACCATGTCAGACACACAAAGGTGGTTGCACGCGCGCGGAAGACTAGGTCGCACTCTGCCGAGTACTCGCGGTTACAGCCGCGGGCGAGATCGCCGTCGCCGAAGCCCCAGACTACCAGTGAGAAGGACGCAAGGCACAGCGCGGCGGTCCACACGCCGTAGACCAGAATGTCCACAATGACTTCCCAGGTGAAGATACCCTGTTTCGTCTGCGGGGGGCGGTCCATAATGTCCGGAGCGGCGATCTCCATGCCCAGCCCCATATCCGGCATGCCTGAGGTGATCATGATGATCCAGAGGATCTCGACGGGGGCGAGCGGGAAGACGGACTGGCCGTCGAGGTCCTTGAAGGCCAGTCCGATGAGGAGCGTGCATGCCTGCGCGATGTTCTCAGAGAGCAAATGCAGGACGAATTTCTGGATGTTGTCGAAGATGCGCCGGCCTTCTTCGATGGCGTTGAGGATCGATGCGAAGTTGTCGTCTGTCAGGATAATGTCCGACGCGTCCTTGGCTACGTCTGAGCCTGCCTGGCCCATCGCGATGCCGACGTCCGCGTGCTTCAGCGAGGGAGAGTCATTTACTCCGTCGCCTGTCATCGCGGCGAACTTGCCCCGGCGGTGCAGCGCGTCGATCATCCGCACTTTGGTCTGCGGCGCACACCGCGCAATCACCAGCGGGAGGGTCGGCAGCGCATCCACCTCGCTGTCGCTGAGCTTGTCAAACTGCCCCGCCGTCATGACCATCGCGTCGGCCACGTCCGCAGCCACGCTGCCCAGATCCGCAGGGAGGATCCCCACCTGCTGCGCGATGGCCTTGGCCGTGCCTGGGTGGTCGCCCGTGACCATGTGCACGGCGATGCCGGCGTGGGTGCAGGCGCGGATGGCGCCAGCGGTTTCAGGGCGGGGCGGATCATACAGCCCGATCAAGCCGAGGAAGCACAGATCCCGCTCGATCTCGTCGCGCTGCAGGTCTGCGCCTTCGAGCAGGCGGTTTGCTTCCGTGTAGGGTTTGTGGGCTAGCGCCAGCACGCGTAGTCCGAGCTTCGCCAGCTCCTCCATGTTCTGCAGGATGGTGGCGCGGTGGTCATCGGTTAGTTCAGTCGGGGTAGAGGCGCCCTCCCAGATGACGGTTGTGCAGGCGTCGAGGATGCGCTCGACGGCGCCCTTGGTGAACACCATGCTGCGTTCGGTCTGGCCGTCGAACCGGGTGAAGATGACGGACATCTTCTTGACGGTCGAGTCGAAGGGGAACTCGGCCTTTTGGTGCCAGACTGGACTCTCGCCCTTGGTCCACCGGTCGCGGTTCCAGTTGAACCGCGCGGCGAAGACTTGGATGGCGATCTCGGTGGGCKCGCCGCGCGCGTGCCACTCGCCTTCGTCGGAGCGGTAGACGTGCGACAGGTTGGCCATGGCGGCGACGTTGAGGAATTCCTCGAGACGGGGGTCACTGCTCGCCGTCTCTTCCAGGTCAACGATCGCAGAACCCTCCTTCTCCTCGTCTAAGCGCACCGGTGGCACGGGGGTGAAAGTGACACCCCCAACAGTCGGGTTGAACGGCTCGTTGTTGGTGCCAACAGAGTACGTGCCCTTGGCCGGGATCCACGCCTTCTTGACCACCATCTTGCCCTGCGTCAGTGTACCCGTCTTATCAGAGCAAATATCTGTCACAGCGCCCAAGGCCTCAAGAGAATCAAGCTTGCGGACGATGACATGCCGCTCGACCATGCGTTTGGTGCCGACAGCCATGGTGATGGTCAACACGACGACCAGACACGCGGGGATCATACTCAGCCCTGTGCCGACCGCATACAGGATCACCTCATTGCTACTGGCGAACTTGTTTGATGCCATCACAATAATGGCAAACAGCACCGCAACCCCAAACAGCAGGATCGCCAGCTTGGACAGCTTGCGCTGCAGCGGCGTCCCGACATTAACGCCCAGGAACCGGCCGACCGCGTCCGTCCCCGTCAGCGTCCACGCCTGCACATACCACCGCTTCTTGGTCTCGCCGTTGGGGCCTCTCTTGACAGGTCGGCGGCGGCTGTCGCCCGCGCGCAGGGCCGCAGCAATCGAGCCAATCTCCGTGGCCATGCCAGTTGCAATGACGACGCCACGGGCCCGGCCGCGCGTGACGGTGCTGGAGCTGTAGGCCACGTTGAGCCGATCGCCGGGGCCGGTGTCTTCTTTGAAGGTGGCGTCGCAGTCTTTCTGCACGGGGAGGGATTCACCGGTAAGGAGTGCTTCATCTGTCTCGAAGTTGACTGCTTCTACCAGTCTGTCTTTGTCAGCTCACCAATTCTAAGAGAGACAAGGCGGGGGTGCGGACGAGGGCATACCGAATATCAGCCGGAACGGTATCACCCGTGCGCAACTCGACCATATCCCCCGGGACGATCTCCGCACTGGGGACCGAAAAGGTCTGTCCACCACGGGAGACCGTGCCGGTGGGCGAGCTAAGCGAATGCAACGACTCCATGGTCTTCTCGGCAGCATACTCCTGGAAGAATCCAACAACAATATTAAGAACGATGACGGCGCAGATGACGCCGCCTTCGATCCACGACTGGATGCCAAAGCTGACCGCCATGGCCAGGATGAGGACCTAGAATTGGATCAGACAAGTTCGTTTGCAAGCCAAAAGCAAAGTGGGTCCCTTAACTAGCATCATTGCGTTGGCCACCTGCCGGACAAGGATCTTGACCACCGACACACCCTCACCTTCGTCGAGTTTATTGGGTCCGTATATCTGCAGCCGATGAGCCGCCTCGTCGGGGGTGAGACCCTCATCAAGTCTGGTGGAAAGTTCTTTGAGGACGACCTCATAGGGAAGGGTGTGAGCTGGTTGGGAGAGGGGGGCCTGGCCGGAGCCGGAGCCGGAGCCGGGAATATCGCCTTTCTCCATGTTTACTCGACTCAACTCCACTGGGATTCAATGGAGAGAACAAACTAAGTGAAAACAGAGGGAACAGCCTCTTTATAACCCCTCCGGAGGAAAACTAGGACCCCACCACGGCGAAAACTCATCACCGCGGCCCCCTTGGCGCCGAGAATCGGGCATTGGCATGGCATGCGCAAACCGCTTGGCAACGTCATACACTGCCTGCATCGTCGTATCTCACAAACTCTCCACGAGGCTATTCCCCACAGACTGCGCCCAAACGCGAGACACGTGCGCCGGGGGCCAATCAGGGGATGTTGCCAAGAGGATTCCTCCGGTTGCCAAGAAGGCGGAACCAGCGGGCGAATCTGTAGTCGCCCTTGTCAGCGAATGGGACACCATCCTGAGTCACTGAGTTGGACTGCGTGTATGCATCCTTACGCGACGATCATATGTAGATAATCAGAGCAAAATTCGTATTCATATTCATATCATATCATCATCCATCATCATAACGCCATAGCCCATAGGTATTAATCAATCAATTTCCATCCATCCATCTATCAAAGCAATCAAATCATATAGGTTGATACGTATTCATCCCCTCGAACTCGCCTCCTCAAGGGTATCTACTCTATTAGTACCAGCATAGCATTCTAGACTCTAGAGAAAACGGAAAGAACATACATCGACTCTCCACATCCTTGCCCATCCCCGCAGAGGAAACAAGACTCTCGCGATGAAAAATCCCCAGATTCCTCATGCGCACCGACCGCATATACATCTCCTGGGCATGCGAGGGCTGGAAGCGGTGCTCTTCGGCGGGGTACATTTGGCGGGTGAGCGCGGCGCCCAGCGACACGGCAGCTAGGCTGGCGACGATGACGATGACGATGATGGCGGGGGTGGTTAGGCCCATTTTTGCCTTGGTCTAGTGGCCTAGTCGCCTAGTAGTAAATTAAGGTGTGTGCCGACTATGACTGGCAGATATTCACAATCACACATAGATTGAGTAGATTGATATGATATTGGTATAACTGGTAACTGATACTACATGATAATGATAGATGAAGAAAGATGGAAGAGGGGATGGAAATTTCTTTTTGTTTCCTTCTACCAGAACATCCTTGTCTTCGGAAGTGACAGGAAGAGCGAGATACTATTTATGGTGTCTCATGTCTATGGTCTTGTTGTCTCGGCCCAATTACTGTCCACTAAGACTTATGGTGAAGCAGAGTATTCCATTGCTATTGGCTGGTTGTTGAGAGTGGGTCAAACCTACCATGATCAGCCAATGAAGATTCTGGAGAGGTATCTCATTGGTCGATTATTTCATATGTCCAACCTTTAGGTACGTATGCTTGTTTATGCAGATTTACTGCTCACAACTTATGCTATTAACATAGGAGGAGCAATGGCAGTAGGCTACTATAATCTTAACTGGTCTTCTCTCAGAAAAAGGAGTGCGCAGCATGACTGGCTTTTAATACAGAGGTAGCTATACCATATTAAAGACGAGATGAAACTCAGATTACAGTTTACACACAAAGAATTTTCCTTACAAGTCAATTGATCAAATGTCAATGGCGGAGTGAATGACTTATGCATTGATAGATATAGACAGACTAGGACACTGGAAAGAGCACATGAAAAATAGGCCGCCGTTTCCATGCTTACTCTCCAACACGTTACCTGAAAAATGTTGCCCACCGAGATCTCTGTGGCTCCGGCAAGACTCGCATACACCAGGCCGACAGTCCACCCTCAAAGGCAAAGCCTTCCGTCTCCCACTTCTCCGACAGCTTATCCTTCCATTCTTCAATCCATATCGTCTGCCTCTTGCCATCAGAATTCTCAAGCATCATCATCCCCTCAGGCACACGTTCGGAGGGCCGAAGCGGAGACCCGGTATAATAAAACTCGTGTCGGGGGTCACAGATGCCCGGGGGATGGGACGCACCAGACTGGGATATCGATGACTGGATATCCTGGTAGCAGCATTGGCACAGCATCATGAATGGGCAAGAACGACACAAGTACCAGTGGCATATCGAGTTCATCTCATACTTGCAGTTCGAACACTCGGCGAGATAGGCGATTCTGTACGCGATCTGGCGTTCAGAGACCTCATCATCCGGTCCTTGTGTCTCGTCATCGGCAAGATGCGCTTGGTTCAAAGATTCGGCAACGCCATCTTCCACACTGTTCGCGCCGTTATTGTAAGACACTCCAACGGCTTCTGATGGGGGATTGTCTTTCTTCCCTCCCTGCAAATAGTCCCTGTACCAGGACTTAATCAAATACAATGCCCCATTCAGATCTTCATCGCTGTTCGCAGCCGCCAGAAATGTCAGAAAGAGACTCTTGAAGGCGTTAACATCGTTGGAAGGATCATCGTCCGACAACAGTTCGATACTTTTCTTCACACGTCCGCGGAGAGCTATTCGGGCGTTTGCGAGATCACCATGGTCCCGCAGCCAACTCGAGATGACCAAACAAATATCACTAAACTCCGCCTTTTCATCCAATCCCAGAGGGGACTCGTCGCAGAATGGAATCTCTGGATGGTACAGACACACGGCCGCTAAGCGACACCGTGAGCGTATCCCAACCAATCTCATACCCAAGTCGTCAGGGTAGTCGGCAACCTTGTACCAAGCTTGGATTCCTGCGCTGATCCGGTTGTTTTCAAACATCAGTGACGCGAATAAGTATTTCGCCGTCTCCAGGTTCATGGTTATTTCCCCTCCAGAGGCCTCGAGTCTGGCAGCAGCCGAGGCAACAAGATCAATAAGCTTCCCGTCGGCCCACATCCGCGCATAGTGAAGCACTCTATAGATTAGACGGGGCATCCAAGTCAGTACTGAAGTGAGGAACTCGACGAAACCTTCTTTTTCGGTCCATTCGAACTCTTGAGGATGTGAAACGGCAAAATCGAGCACATCGTGAACACGGTGTGTCTGGCGCAGCTCCAGAAAGATCGAAAAGAACGAACACAGAGTATACCTGTCTCGGTAATCCTCCTTTGGTCCTATGAATACTTCCCAGGCGTCATTTGCCGCGGCAACAGCTTTGTCGTCCAGTTTCGCAAGGTGCTCCATTTCCGCATGGTTCAGCAGTTTTCGCACAGGATCCTGCCGGCCACGGTCCCAGGAGGCGTCATGCAGCGACTCGGCAAGATGAGAATGCTCTAATGCCTCGTTGTACCTTCCGACTTTGGTACATGCGCGAGCCATGTCTCTGTGGATCACGGATAGCGCTTGTTTGCTCAGGATAGGGTTCCTGTGATCTTCATCAAGAGAGATCTGGAATTCGTCGAGGGCTGCCTCCCAGTTATAATGGAGGAGGAGCGCCTGAGCAACTCGAGCACGCCAGACGGGCGTCTTCTCGAGACGCTGCATCTCGGCTGTGCACACGATCTCGTCAGGCTCCAACCTTGTGTATAATACCCCTGCTAACGTCCCTTCGGAGGTTAGCAATTGGGTGCCTGCCATTTGAGCGTACATAAATAGCATGCTGGGGAGAATTTCCGATAATCCATCATCCTCTTCGATATCTTTGGGAACCAGCCAAAGTCGGGAGAAAGACTCCGCCAAACGGGAGAAAAGGACCGTAAAAGGACAGGCATCGCTTGCCACCGTCGAAGATCGAGCACAATCCTGCAGGAGCTGTTTCGTATCTGGGGATAGCCAATTCAGTACCAATTCCGCCCTCTGGTTCGCCGTATCACGATCTTGAGCATCCCACCAGTAATGGGCAATCTCTGTTGCGTGAGACGACATATAATTGAAGTATGTGTCAAAGTGGATCGGGCGGCCTTGTTCAATGAGCCAGTGCTGAGGGTCGAATACCGGATCCTCTGTGAAGAGACCCGCGAGTAGAGTGGCTATTTCTTCTCTTCGATTTGCTGCTTTTTCTGGATCTGCACGCGACAGATGCAGTGTCAGGAATTTCTGAGCGTATCTCTTGACCCAGAATAGCGACCTTTCTGATGTGGGTGTATGTCTTCTTTGAAAGGCATAGAGTAAGACAAATAGAAACAACGCCTCAGCTCGCTTGGGATCGACCTGGACGGGTCCAGCCTCCACTGATGTGTTGAAGAATTCATAAAACGAACTATGCCGCAGAGTTACAATGACCGAATCCTTACCTTCTTCTTCTTCATCCTCTGCGGGCCGCAGCGAAAACAGGGATGAGTATACCGTGCGAAGATCATCCTCAAGATTCAGGACCTCCTCTTCAAGGATGACCTCCAAGATAAGGTCGAGTTGCTCCACCGTCAGCGGCTTCTGAGCCATTGTCACAAATGAGAGAAGGATGTTGAGCTGATGAATCTGCGTCGTTGCTTCCCCGGTTGATCCTTCCTCATCGGACAACTCGGCCGACATCGCATCTGACACCGACAACTCTCTAGCCAAACGCTGCAGTTCTGCATGCAGCATAGCGCTGATTCCTCGGGGCATCGTCCGGACCACCTTTCGAATCTGCTCCTTGGTCCGGCAGCGCAGAACAGACTTGATGACAAGGTTGGCCCATTCCCAGAGGCCTTCCGCTTGCCCACATATATCCCGGACGATCTCGTCTAGGAAGTCTGAAAAGCCGCGGAACAACTTAGTCTTCTGCAGCTTCTGAGAGACGTATCCGTGAAGGTCGTCCTTGTTCTGGTTATTCGTGATTTCGATCTCCGGAATCCACCCAAGGGAGTGTTCGTCGAGAATGCCGCGAACGGAATCCCTGCCCAGAAGTACGACTCGGATTGGCGCAGGAGAGCTTATCTGGTCCTCTGTCGCGTACGCGCTTTCAAGCAGACTGAAAAGGATTTCTTGTTCCTCTGGATCGGCCTCGTCAATACCGTCAATGATAAAGCACGTTCCGTCGCCCGGTGGAGACTCGACGAAGAAGTCAAGCAAGAGTTTCCTCCAGACAATGTAGCTGTTGGCTGGGTCTTCTTTCAGACAGAAATCTTCTGCATGCGCCGCAAATCTCGATCGCTGGACGACCACCTGCCATGCCAGGGTTCGCAGCGCTTTGTTAAAGGAGCGGAGATCCAAATCGTTGTTCTTGAAGAAGAAAGAGGCGACGATGGGCGCAGATGGAGCGGATGCGTCTGCCATCGCGAGATCGCTGATGATCTTCGACGCCAGGTAGGACTTGCCCACACCAGGACCGCCGTGAATCCAGAGGAGAGGCTCGGGTCCCTGCCACCAGGACCGGATCCTGTCTTCAATCCAGCTACCCGATCCAGGTATCCGATTCTCGTTGATCGCAGAGAAGACGCGACCGGATGCAGAGACGGGATCTAGTGCCTTCTTCACTCTGTCTAGTCTCTCACGGTTATTTCTGTTGTCGTCTCGTTCGAGTAATTCTGCTGTATTTCTGAGCGTCTGATGAGTGAGATCGAGCCCATGAGCGGAGACCATCTTGTGTTCCTGGCTCGTCAATTCCTCCAGCTCGCCCAGGAGCGAACTAATCGACGTATCCTCAACCAGGACATTCTTTGTCCATTTCGTAAGTCTTGCTCTCAACGATCCCCGACTTATCAATTTCTGCGACGCTGCGCAGACACGAAGGAAATTGACCAAAACTTTGACAATGATGGTCTTCATCCCTTCACTGAGAGGAACCCCCTTGTACGAGTCCAGCCGGAGAGCAAAATGGCCGAGTTTGTGAAACAAGTCCGTAAGCATGTCGAACGATTCACTGACCCTGCGAGCACCTCGAATCAGAAGCATCATGGCGCCCATGATGGAAGACGCTGGAGGAAAAGCTGCCGAGGCTGCACCCGCAAGTAGATCGCCCCAGTTCTCAAAGGGCGCCAGGACCATCTGCATGGCATGCAAGAGCGGTCGTCTTTTCATCCGAAAGTCCTCAAAATGGTCTTTCTCTGCATCGAGCTGACGGGACAGATCCTCAGGACCGTGGATCTTGGGGAAATCGCCATCGGTAATTGCGACCCCGGTTTCTTTAGCATAGTCATCACAAGCAGAATGCCAGAGTGCGGACAGTCTGTCATCCAAAGGGTCACTTGTCGTTGGAGCCATGTTGGTTAGGCGGGCAGTCGTGATGGGCAGTGAGTTGTATGCTCATGTTCTGACAGCGTCTGACATGATGCCCCTCATTTCATGCAGTAAGCTTCCTTTTCAGGATTAGCTCGTGCACAAGTGCCATAACAGCTTATAACAGCTTCAATATTGCCATTTCCGGTCATATGTCTGCCTATCTATCTATATGAAATGCATCTCCTATACCACTGCATATTCCAGGACAGTAGTGTAAGGTCCATGCAGAGCTGTGCTCTTTTGCGGTTTGATAGTAACACACAACCCCATCCCTATATGCTACACAGTAGCATTGAACGATAATGATTGATCTAGGCTTCAAGCTTCACTTCCTCCGGGTAAAAGTCAAATGCAACGGCCCCATGTACAGCACAAAGTTGTCCTGCGCCTGCTGCAAGAATGCCTGCCCATCCTCCCCCGGGGCAAATCCCACATCGAAGGTCGTGATCAGATTGGTGATTGTAGTGCGCAGATTCAGCAACGCCAGTGGTCGGCCGATACAGTTATACGGACCTATCGCCGTCAGTACTCAGTATCTCAGAATCACAGGTGGATATGTACCCAGGGTAAACGGCGTAAAGGCCGACCGATCCTTGATCAGATGCGGGTACTTGTACCATCTCTCAGGGATAAACTCGTCCGGCCGCGCATAGCATAGCTCAGCTGCGCGTTACAATCAGCATCCCCTGACATATTCCACCGCAGACGTAGTCTTACATCTTCCCATCGCATACTGCGGACAATACACCGTCATCTCCCCGGGGATATGCACCCCCTCCACCCAAATTCCCTCCGCGGGCGTCTTCCGCCACAAAGCCCCGGGAACAGCCGGATACATCCTCAGCGCCTCATTAATCACCCCGTTGAGATGCTCCAAAAGCGCAATCTCAGCCCCGCGCACCTCCCCCGTGCCATCAACAAACGGCGCAACCTCCTCCCGCAGTCTGCGCATCTCCTCCGGATGCCGGGCGAGCTCGTAGAGAGTCGCACAAAGCGTCACGGCAGTGGTATCGCTGCCCGCCACGACGATCAGCCGCGCGTCGCCGTCCAGCATCAGTTTCTCAGCTGGGGTCGGCTCCCGCCCTTTCAGCGGGGCGAGCAGCGAGGCGCTGATGTCCGGGATCTGCACGTCCATGCGCATGCGCGACTGCAATCTCTCGCTGCAGAAGGTTAGGAAGCGCCACCAGTCCCGGGCAATTCCAGGGATTCGGAGCAGGATGAGGTGCAGCCACGGGGGGAAGAACAGGCCGACTTGGTTCATTGATGCGTTTAGGAGGGTGATGGCTGGGTGTTCGTGGCTGGTGGTGAGGCAGTCGAACCCGCGGCCGAAGGAGAGGTCGCCCATGACATCAAAGCTGTATAGGTAGATCCATTTGCGTACGTCGACGGTTTGTAACGTGGTTAGCTGGGCGATGAGCTGCTGCTGGTAGGTCTTGATGCGTTGCTCATAGCCACGGACCATCTTGTCGCTGAAGGCGGGACTCCAGGTCCTGCGGCGGGCGTTGTGCTCTTTGATGTCGCGGCAGTGTTGCAGAGGGCGAGAAGGGTAGGCTAGGTCGTACCAGGAGGATTTTGTGCAGGGGGATTGGGAGCCATAGATGGCTGGGACGGCGGACGGGTAGATGATGGAGAGGTCTGAGGGGCCGGTGCGTACGATTGGGCCATATTGGTTGTGTAAGGCCTGGAGGGTGAGATGTGCTTTGCGATTTGGGGAGATGAACCAGAGACTTGATACGCGGGCGAGGAGGGGGCCGGGGAAGGAGTGCAGGGGATGGCGGAGGAGACGGTATACTAGAATGCTGGTATAAATGCTGGCAAGGTAGACCAGGATATAGCTGTAGTGGAAAAATACGTTGGCGACGGTGGTGGAAACGACAAAGAGGGCGAGATAGATATGGCTGTAGAGGTGATGCTCGCCGCGTCGAAAGTAAAGGACATGGCTGAGGACGCCGGCAGTAGCGATGAAAAAGTACGGAGCCATTGTCTGCTGGAATCTGGGAGTGGGCAGGAATCGCTATTTATAACCAGCGCAGCTGACGATGACATTCCGATTCAGACAGAGTGTGTTACAACGACTACACTTGCATATTGCTGACAGTGCTTCGATATTTCATTGGGATTGGCCCGTTGTGCTTCCGTTTATGCAAGGGTGATTGAATTGTGTAACTCAGCGCGCTATATGTACAACTGTCCGTACATAATGCCACATCACAGAGCAGCAATGATGGCATTATACGCCGCCTTGGGCTGGTAGTTGCTATTGAACAACAGCGGAGACGAGCCGGAGCGCCACGAGTCCTTATCCGAGACACCCCAGACGGTGATTCCCACACACTTCGAGACACCCAAGCATGCATTGACAACCTGTATTTATTAGCTGTGATTACCCTGCACCTAATGAGCAAGAGACATACGTTGACGTAATCCTGGGAGCTAGCGCCTGCGATATCCAGCTCAGTAATAGCGACCTCGGAGACGCCGGAGGAGGCAAGGGCAGTCAATGCTGTGCACGGGGTCAGCGTTACGTAGACAAACCAGGAGGGGAGACTTATCCTTTGACGCTAGAGGAGGCACCAGCACCAAGGTGGGTTTGAGAGCCTTTCAAGAAGAGTCAGTATACATCATCGCAGCAGGTGATATTCAGCTCACCAATTCCGTCAATAGGAATGCCCGCAGCCAACCACTTCTTGACATGATTCACCATCCCCTGCGTTTTGGCATAGCTAGCCGAGTCGAGGCTTTGATGGTCAGATACAACTCACGTCCAGCCAAAACGAATGCTTACTTGTAATCGTTGATGTACAGCTTCGCAGAGGGATCCACAGAGCGCGCCGTCTGGAAGGCGATCCGCACAAAGTCCTCGCCCAGCACGCGGGAGAAAACGCTGTCGCGGAGGGTGCCGTCCTCGTTGAAGATCTCGTTGACGACGTCCTTGGACATATTAGCTAAGCTGGCTTCATGTTCGATAGCTGGCAACTTACCCAGGCGTAGATCTGGCCCTTGTACCGGGTCATGACGGTGGTGATGTGGTTCTTCAGCACCGAGGTCAGGGTGTTCTTGTCGGTGATAGACTGCACCCAGGACGGGAGTTGCGAGTGCCAGACTAGACTGTCAGCTTATCCTGTATCCTTGAGATGTTGTATGTTGGGGCATACCCAAAGTGTGTCCGCGGACCTTTTTGCCATTCTGTTTGGCATAGTTGACCTATTCGAACTTAGTATGTGCTCGACAGAGATGAGCAAATTGCATACCAAGAAATCAGCACCGGCAAAGTTAAAGTTTCCTCGGGATGCTAAGCAGAGATATGTCAATACGTTATGTCAACCAGCAATGACAGCTACCTACGCTCAGTAGCATCCCACTTCATGCTATTCTCGGGCGTCAACTGGCCAAAGTCCTTGCGCACAACGGCCTCATTCTGCGAGGTCTGAAGCAGGTGTTGGTCGCTGCAGGTGCCAAAGTACTTTTTGCCATGGGATGTAAAGGCCTGGTTGATGCTGGTTTCTCGGCGTTCGATCGCGGCCGCCGAGACCAGGGACACAAAGAGAATGCTGCTGAGGAGCTTGCTGAGGACGACCATTTTGAATTCGATTGAACTGGCTCAGATTCTTGGATGTTTGAGTTGTGGTGTTGCTGAGAGGGAAGCCTTCTGACAGCCGTATTTATAGTTGAGACTGCTGTCAGAATTACAGATACTCCACCGGATTCAGGGTCTGTCGTTTAGCCTATTTTCAGTTTCATCCTTCAGTCCTATCAATCTATCTGAGGAAATGCTGCGGAATGTTGTCACTCTGCGACTGGGCTTGTTTCAGCCAAGCTTTACTTTAATATCCGCTTGTCGATCCTCCACCGGTCGTAGGGTCCTATATCAATCAACGGCAATTGAGGGCTGGTCATTTTGCCGATTGAAGAGGTCAGCCGGAGATTAATATTCCTGGATCTATCCAGATTGAGACGTTGCCCCGTTTGTTAAGGGTCTTAGGAGATGCCCCTTTCGTTAAGGGTCTCCTCCTAAAGACCACCCCGTCAGATATTGGTAAACCATCTAACCTGATCCACCACGGCCGCCACCTGGACCCTTGCAGGTGTCACTATTGTCTGTATCAGAAGACAGGCTGAAAGGATAAAATTCAAAATCCTGATCATACCATCCCACCCAATGCCATCACTCATTCTGGTTCGAAAGCAGCGTCCCCCAATCACCTGCAGCAAATTATCCACTATTGCCTACGAAAACAGCACTAGCATATCCTTCACATCCGCCTACCGCCTCTGCCCCGTATTCAAAATGGCTTCCCCCCTGTATGCCCATGGTCTGCAGATACCCATGCATCGGAACATGCCCTCCGGGCTTCCACGACAGGCATATACAAATAGCCTGTATGAACCATGCCAGCTGCTCCGTATCCGCTACTCTGCACGACTGAGACACCAATTCGGACGGTGCCTTCCCTGCGGGGCGAAGGGTTCGTCTAGCCAGTTCAGTACGCCGCCGCCGCCGCCACAGTTTGATGTAGGGAGGTCGCCATGCTGCAGGGGTTTTGCGAGGGTGCCAAGGTCTGTCGGGAAAGTATGTGCTGCGCCCTAGCGGTGATGAAGGTGATGTGGCTGGAGTTGGCGAATTGGGTGAGCTGGCGCTGCAGCTGGGTCATGACGTTTAGGCCGACGGTTGTATCGCCGTGCCGACCTGGAGGTAGATTCTCCGATTGCTGCGGTTGAAATCAGGCAGATGAGTGTACAGGAGCTCATGCTGCATTACAATCTATGTACCTTTACTGTAGTTGATGCGGTGAAACGGCCCGGACGGACGGTTCTCCTGACAGGATGAGCGTGATCTGCTCCGAGGATAAGGGGGATTGATGCTGCTCCTGATTCGCAGTCTCACAGCTAAGAGGCCCTGGTCTAGGCCTATTCCTCTCGTGGTTATGGATCTATACCCGCATATTATTATTGCTGGAGCGCAACTGCTATGGAAGGGGATCAAGTGGGACTACAGGCTGGAACAATCGTGTGGATACATGCAAATAGCTTCGGACTGTTCTTCTACAGACGCTAGAACCGCTTCTGCAGACATCAATGTCCGTTGAGATGGTACCAGAGGACGCAAAGATATTCACTCGCACTTTGACTGCGGACTTCACCCTTCTTTGGTCAACCCTCAGCTTGTTGAGAAGTCTTATTCACTGACGAGTTGAATGGTCATTCACTTCCAGCCCTTGGATCCGGGCATATTCAGGTATGTGGGCAGTGACGTAAGAGTATATTCGCTAAAGGTATTTCGGCTGCTTCTCTCCAGCGCCATTTGCAAATTGCCCCCCTTCCATCATCAATCAACCTCTTGAATGTGGACAATTTTATCTTCATCCTTAAGCAAACCCCCGTCGAATGGCTAGTAGGCTTTGACATACTCCGGAGACTGAATCAAATGAGCTGCTTCATTGGAGCCGTCCTCACTTCCTTGAGATCGGCTCTAGAAATCCAAGATTCTCCGCTTATTCATTTATCCAAGCTGTCAAGCATGCTCATAGCTTGCAGACGGAAAAGGTACGAAATGTCAGTCAAATCCAGTCTTTATACTGTCCTATGAATCTAACATTATATCTGTGCAGGGACGCAAAATAACCAAAGCTCATGGCTACTCCCAGCCCTCAGAAGAGATTCTGATGAATTCAATCCCAAGTCTCATCACTTTGAGACTGGGCAACTACAACTGATCGATCCCAATGATTGATTGTGTTCATGTTGTCCACAGAATCGAGTACAACAGCGTCACAGAGGCGCTGCTGCTCAGGATAATGCCGACAGGTCTCCACGAATGCCATAGTGGATGAGGTTCAGGTCCATGCAGGGGGGATAATCAGATAGATTTAGAAGGGGAGTCAAAGAACGGCCCTCGTGGCGGTCTTGATGAAGATAAGTATCACCCCTTGGGTTAAGCAAGCAGCGATGAGGTGTGCGGGCTATATAGGCCAGCACGCTGTAGACTTGTTCTGCTCCTCCTGCATGTCTCTGCTATACAGGCTCGTCTGGTTGCGGCTCAGCTGAGAGAATGTGAGCCGCACAAAGTTGAAAGACCTTCCCCAGCGAGTGGCAGGCTCCTATAGGCAAAGGTCAGTATGCGGCAACCTTGTTCTCTTCAACTTGTTCTTTGCCCTGGAACAACACAAGAAATGCTCACGGTTTGCTTACAGGGCATAAGAAGCAAATTGAATCCTTTGTCTTACTCTGGTTTAAAAGCGTCGTACGTTCCTCCTAGTCGGAATTACCTTATTGGACTGGCCGTTGCAGAACCATCCTCCTCCATACTGAGCACGATAGACCGTTTGAGAAGCTGCTAGCTGAGATGCAAAAGACTGCAGGCAGGCCGAATGCGCCTCCTGTATCACCGGTCATTTAGCCTGGCTCTCAACAACTACTACCGTGCGGCAGACGATGAGGCAGATACGATGGCTGCTGCCATCGCGAACAGTGACCACCGTAGCGACCGGGGGTTCTCTGACTTTTAACGGAGGACGACGCCAGACGTTCGGAACATGATGCCCTTGACCTTGCTCCCGTACGCCACCGGAGCGGTCCTCTCTAGACCATGGTAAACGTCTGGTCGCTCCCACTGCAGTGGTAAGTTCCCCTCCCCTATCTCAGTGGTAGCTCGCAGCTAACACTGTGTAGGGAAACATCATCACTGGGCCACCTCCGCCTCTTGCAAGCACACCTAGGGACATCAACAATCCGCCAACGGAGGGGACTCATGGCGAGTCAGTAAGTCTACCTTTTGCTATCGAGTAACCGTTTCCGGCTAATGTTTTATGGCAGCTACTCTTACGACGCTTGCAGAGGACTTCTATGTACCCAAATACCATCGTTTACCCCCACACCAGTGCTACAAATTGCCTGGCCGACTGAGTCCAACGCATCAAGCAACATATGGACGTTTCGCTTGCCCTATTCCACAAGTGACAACTCCATGAAGAAACGGGGAGCTCTAACACCTCGGAAAGTGAATGTCTTTTGTTGAAGTCTTTTGCACAGAATACTCGATACCGGTTGACACACGGGAACCCGCGTTCCTCGCCTTCCTTTGAGATCACTGCTGTGACTATCAAAAACCTCATCAGCCGAGGTACAGTCTTTAAATTAGTCTTTAAATCAGTCTGTTCTCCACGGCGGCAATGCAGCAGCTGATGCAACCGTGTCTGAGGGCCAGCGGCCGACGGACGAGCTACGACAGTTCATTCACATATATTCGACGCTCAAGCACACTGGTATCATATAGACCCATTGCATGGGTTCGCTAATGGTGAACACAATCTGTGGAAGCATCACGATTACCACCTTGATCGCCCGGGGTTAAGTCCATTGAACCTTCATTTCTCCCTAGCACAGCGGGATCTCGTTATCCCATTGATCAAGGCGCATCAAACCCGAGCCTTCGACAGTGGAATCTCCGCCAAGGATGACACATCCGGCATGCTTGACTTGCCGAAGGCGATCTGGTTCTCTTATGGGACACCATTCTGGAGAAAGATAAAGGAAGGAAGCTTGATCCTCGATGGAAGGGCCCATTCCTACTCAAGAAACTGTCTCACCATAAGTGAGCGGCGGTGCATGGGGACATACTTACAGGGCTCAAGGTCCAAGTCGGCGAATACATTGCCCCCGAACAGCGTCCCCTCGTTGAGCGGAAGACCAAGATGAGTTTCACCTGCCATAGCGAGTACATGGTTGTGGTATATCTGAAAGCTTTCTAACCGCCTCTCTAAAAAAAAAGAAGCCTAGTGGAGAATGTAAGTTTTATTGCGAGCCACTATACATTCAGTTACGTGCGTAGGAAATCGTAGAGAGTAATGATTGGACGACTTGGTGATCTATTCATAATTGTTGGACTGCAACGATGGAGAGCTTTAAATTTAAGTGCTTGCATCTCGTCAAGTAAGTGAGGATCGGCGGCAGAAGATGGAGTCTTGAAGAACTACCCAACGACAAACCTCTCCACCGAATCCCAGTCACCTACTCTAAGACTGCTGCTAGAGCTCTTTCGTTTCGGGGGCAGTGGAAGGAAATTTATGAAGAAGTCTTATACGATAAGAAATAAAATCAAATTAAGTGAGGAGGTATCAACATAGGGGTTTCTTTGCATAATCTTTAGGAACGTCTCTAGTGTAGGAGTGCGAGGTTTATAGCGAGGCTTGATGAACACCTAGCGACGGCAATCAATATAAGTTCGGTGAGCTAGCATTTGGAGCGGTACCCATTGGCGGTTCTAGTCCAAAGGAACTAGTAAACCGTACGGGTTTGGCTACATACGATCGCTAGTTCTCTACCGTGATAAAATATCAAATGTGTGGCGAGGATCTACTATGTGAGATGCATCTTCGCAGGCATGCAGATGTCCGTCACCTTCTCGCATTCCTCCACACTTCTCACTTGTACTCGGAAAGAGTTTTGCCACGATCTGTAGTCTCGCATTCGAGAAGCTTGCCGGGTCATTCGAATACCAGACGGCATTCCTAGCTCTGGTCTCTTTAACATCTCGTCGTCCATTTTATTCATGCTTATCATTGCCATTGCTCCGCCCAGCTGCCACAAAGAACCTCCCTCCCGTACGAGACACTCTAAAGGTAGCGAAACCGATAGGCTCGCTCAAAGTCCGTCACCCCCGGGTCTTTCCTCAGCACCGCAACGCCTGGGTTGTTCTGTAACCAGCCGAGATGCTCTCGACTTTGAATGTCATAAAAGTCGAGGCGAACAAAGTCATGCGAACCGATTTTGTCGGCTCGCTCGGCAGCTTCGCGGTCCTCGATATACTTGCCTTTGTTGCCGGGATCTTCTTTCATCTTATTGAACGTGATCAAGATGTTCGCGTCTTCGTTCAGACCGGCATACAGAACATTCTCATTCTGGTAGTGCTCCGCAAGTGTTGTCCGGCGCACGCTGTAGAGCTCCTTATTGAATGAGACACGCAGGGGATACTGCGTCCCKTATTTGATCTGTCAGCTAGTTAGTGGGCTGTCAACTTTCCCCGCACAACTGTACAGAAACAATCTCACTCTCGGAGTGGTCCCCTTCTCTCCTTCCCACACCAACTGATGTCGGAGCGCATACACTTCGAGATCGGCCTTCATATGACCATCCCCGGTTTGGGATTTGGTCAGCAAATGGCGTTTCGCACGCCGCGAGAAGTTTCCTCCTCCGGCTTCCGGTCGTTCAAGTAGTTCCTCTGCCGAGCGGGTGAGCCTGTAGTTCCAATGGGGCAGACCATATCCAATGGTTCCAGGGCTTTTGGTTTTGGGACTCACCGTTCGCGATCATACCGAGGTAAGCCTTCGTTGCCGCGCCCGAACCGAACTGGTCCAGCAAAAACGGTACTCGGCTGAAGTATATGGCTTCAAACACACCGGGAATGTCCTTCCAGCCGTCCATCTTGCCAATGAGCTGAACGATATCCACCATGCCGATTTGCTGTTGCCTGTCAGCTACCGCGCTTGGACATTCATGCAGGCGAACAATGAGACACTCACATTCATCACGCGCCAGTTATAGTAGGAGTGCACGGTGGGACACCAGGCAGGGGGGCTGCGTTGTTTGTCTCAATCAATTGTCTTCTGCGAAGAGCAAAGAAGCCGAAGTACTAGGAACTCACTTGTTACACAACAAGGTGTCACCGCCGTCCGCATGCCAGGTGATCGAGTGGCTCGAGCTACTGTGAGACCGTTCGACTTTCTCGTCTTTTGTCGTCTCATGGCTCGCGCTCACCGACGCCTGGAACCCAAAGCCAGACACGGATGCACTCGCGGCGGCCTTGAGTGCCGATGCCTTTTCTTGGGTCGTGGAGCCGGCAATGCTCGACGTCGACTCGACGGAGTACAGCCGACCACCCAGTTGGACATGGGGGACAAAGACGTGCCCTACAACCCGTGAGGACCCTGCTTACCCTTCTATAGAAAGGAACCCACCAAATTTGTGGAAAAAATTGTCCGCGTCTTCCTTCTTTGCGTTGGCGTGGCGCAGTTTCTGCAACTGCTTGATGCATTCCTCGGTCAATTCAAGATCCTCGACGTCCAGGAAAACCTCGACACGGGGAAACTAGTGAGAATCGGTCAGTCTTTGGGTGACCGCAGTGAGATTTAGATGCCGGATCGTTTACCAGGTAAGCCACGTGCATCCGGCTCTCGTCTTTGGAAGATGACTGCGCGTACGAGCTGGACTCGGACGTTGTGGCCCCGGCTTTCACGCCAACGCTCACTCCAAACGCTCCTCCACCTCTGGCCCAACGGTCAGGTCAGTCATTACATCATGCACCGGTCAAGGGGGGAGCTTGGCTCTGTACTCACGCCGCTGCTTCGACCGTGGTTTGGCTAAACGCGTTGGCTGCCATAGAGTCCGCGATGGATGTCTTGGTCTCGAAGACTTCGACTCTCGAGCTATCACAAATCTGGAATCGTGGGATTCGAAATTTGAGCTGAAGCCAGTCAGTCCGACCGCGCTCCGGACGTTCTGGGGACGAAGGAGATGGTGGCATTCATGGCAATTACCTCGGGCTGCTTCAGCTGCGCAGGAGGTGGTTTGGCAACCTGAAAAGTGATGTTGTATTCGGGAATGGCTCTTTCTTTCAAGGCAAACGCTTGTGATGACAAAAACAAATAGTGAGCCTAATAGAATCTCGTAAGCCTGGAACCAAGATACCGACATACCGGTGTGCCTGGCCCGACGGATGCTGGTAGGCACCTGCAGCTTGTCATTGGTGCCTCCGCCTTCAAAGAACTTTCCGTTGAGTAGGTCATTGTTGCGGATCACAATGCCCCATTGCTGCTCATTCATATCGGCCGCGTATCTAGAATTGTCAGTGGGGTGAGGCTCCTGGATGAGTTGGGGAGAGCGCCTCACGTGTCTGCCTTGCCCGCAGAAGCCTTCCAATCATCCTTTTTGATGGACGAAGTGAGCTTGGCCAACGCCGGGTTCAGGAAAGGCATGCGGTCCGACTGTGCAGGTGTCAGTAGAATAGTTCTTGCGGTTAGTCCAACAGGCATTGTACCAAGCTGAGGTCAACACGTTCTTTCAAGAACGCAGTGGTATCGGCGTCCATGCCCGCTGCAGCACTCCCAGCAGCGAGAAAGAACAGGTTGTAGGCATTCTAAGTTTTCCTTAGCATCGATCCGTCTCGATGATCACGTCACCCAAACTTACGCCGTCCGGTTCCTTGTTCATCTGAACGTAGACATCAAAAGTGGTGTCCTCCGCGACTTCGGCGCCATCCTTGTCGCAGAATTTGTTCTTCACGCTGCGTATATGAATCAGGAATGTATTGATCTATAGGCATAGCTCATAGGAACCATACTATTGTTTGGGCAGCCGATTTTGCTGAATTAAATACCACCGGATATGCTCGAGAGCAGCCGCGTTGAACTTTTGCGGCAGAACAGCCCTCGAGATCGGCGAGCTGCTGCCGCTCTGGACGTCATACTTTTGTATGGCCAGAATTACTGTAAACGACACCATTGTCAGTCGGGATTTCTAGATACAACGTCTGGCGGCCCTACCGCTGTTTTCGCCCATCTTGGCTGCTTCTTTTTGGGAAGCTCTCAAGTCAGAGTATGGTAGAGGAAATATATGCTAAAGGGTGTCTGCAAAACAATAGGGAGAAATAGAGTGGTCAACGCACCGAAATGGCCAGACTATTTATCTGCAAAGGAGCCATCCAAGACCATTTCCGTAACCCTACAAATCATCTCTTGCTCGACGTATTGGGAAGTGATCGTCGCAATCTGCATCTCAGCCAGCCACCAGTTCGAATAGTACTCGAAAAATCTGATAGATCAATCGCAGAGGGGTAAGAGATGCACTAGAAACACATTGTGACGATGGATCGTTCATGTGGCAACGAACAGCATGAGCGAGCACGATGCGCGGGGCAATGCCATCATTCTATTTCAATGGCCTGTTGCAGGCCACGTCGATCGCTAGCATAGCGGTGCCAAAAATGCGGCCATGTCCTGGCATACCAACATCAACACGTCGTGGGCCATCCGCCTGTGATATGAGAGAGGGAGCTCAGTATACTTCAGACTCTTTTTCCCTTGCGTATCCCCGCAGATCATGTTTGCTTGGAGGGTTGGGGAGTGATCTTCGCCATCGCCATCTTAGCCAGCCACCAGTCCGAATACTACTCAAGACTGATAGATCAACCATAGAGGGGTAGTGATCCACTAGAAACCCATTTATGGCAATAGGTCGTTCAGTGTGCAAATTCAGCCGTAACAAATGGGATGAGCGATCACGAGCGTCCCCTCGCGAACATCCAGAGTATCTCGAGGCTACTCGGCGAATGAGAAAGCAAGCCGAAGCGTGCTAACGGATCCCAGTGCATTTAAGGTTTCGTATAATGCATACCGTCCACGTATTTTGGTATGATAGGAGTGGCTGTTTGCACACTCACTTAGATCTATCATGAAATGGTTCAAGCCAGGTAAATTGCTGCATATACCATCATCACAAGCCTGAACTGCTGGTTCATGGATGGGGGATTCAGAAGAGCAAGTCAAGGTCCTTGCGGTGCCCTTGGCTCGGGCCAGAGCACCTTCAATCGGAAATTATGGGGGTGAGGTGTATCTTGCATAGTATATGGTCTATGAGACTTGCAAATTGGGCAGCAAGCAAGTGAAACGAAACTAGATCGTCTCGAATACCTGAGTCGTCACCCTAATTGGTGCCACATGTGGCCATCTATTGCTCTTGGCAAAGGTTGGCTCATTCTAGAACGAATTGGAACAGCACATCATAATTGACCAGTCATCGTAGAGGCCTAGGCTATTTTTGATATTCTAGATTGATCCTGTTCATACATACATTTGAAGTCTTTCAAAGACCTACAGGTGACCCAGTCGCACTGGGAGCGGGGAAGTCCGACATGGCAGTTTAGCCTTACACAGTTCAATCTCCACGGAGTGCCTCATGCAGGTCAAGGTCCTTAGGTCCTGTCCTCTGCTGAGCCACAGACAGCCCGTGATCACCTGAGTTGCCGATGTCCTTGTCAGTAATCTGACTTGAGGGTGGGTAATGGCAGTCCTAAACAAATTAGCCTTTGGACGGATATGCATATCGCCGGAGTATACCAATTCTGATCTGATAAATGACCAAAATCCCGAAGCATCAGTGGAAAAGATGTACACTTGACTAGTGTCCCTTATGTGTATGCCCAAACAAACATCAGCGCCGCACATCCTACTATATTTGTAAGACTTCCTTATCAGACTGGTTTTGCAGCAGTCTTGCTTCTGGCGAATTAATTTTCTCCCACGAGCCGATCACCCCTTTCGAATTCCACTAGACTTGACATTTGAATCTATCCAAACAGCCACTATGCCACCAAAACCGCGTCAAACGTCAAAAAAATTAGTGGAACAAGAGGGAAGGATTCTCTTAGTAATTTCTGCTTTAAAGAAGGAAGAAATTTTATCTATTCGTCACGCAGCTGTTGTCTTTGATATTCCTTATACAACTCTCTACGGTCGAATCAATGGATGCAATTATCGGGCTGAGAAGCGCGCTAATGGCTATAAAATAACTCTTAATGAAGAGGAATCGCTCTTACAATGGATTCTTTCTATAGATCAGCGGGGATGCCCTCCTAGGCCTGCTTATGTAAATGAAATTGCTAATAGCTTGCTTGCTCAGCAGAATCCTACCTCCCCTCCTCCTATTAGAAAGAACTAGGTCACAAGTTCATTAAGCATCAGCCACAGATCAAGAGCTAATATTCACAGAGATAAAATTATGAACAAGCAAAATATAAAGATCCAAAGGTAATCTAGGGATAGTTTCATCAAATCCATGAGATCATGTGTCAACATGGAATACTAGAGGAGGATATCTTCAATTTTAGTAAAACAGGCTTCGGTATGGGTCTGATTGCAACTACTAAGGTAGTTACTAGATCTGATATGCCTGGGAAACCTTATCTTTTACAGCCAGACAATCATAAGTAGGTTGCAACTATTAAGTATATCAATATAAAGGGCTGGTCTATTGCTCCCTGTATAATCTTCAAAGGCAAGGTTCATATAGAGGGATGGTATCAAGTCTATGCCTTACCACCTAATTAGCAGATTGAGGTCAGTGATAATGGATAGATAACAGATAAGATAGGCCTTCAATGGCTTCAAAAAGTCTTATTCCTGCCACACATCGCGACTCAGGCTGTTCTTCGGTGGACTCGAGAGAGCGAACTCTTGTTATGAAGCTCGTAATGCGCTTGTATTCCATGTTGCGGATAGTGCCCCTTTCGTGTCCGTTTGCTTCGAGAAACGACGCAGCGAAGAGTTAGCTGGAGACATTTTGAATCTGGCATTGATGATCCAGAATTGCGTAATGACGTGGATGAGGTAAGTTTGCATGGCCCAGGAATCAATGGTTAACCTACCTGGTATAGTTCCAGCCACGTTTATATCCCAGTATGTTAATAATACGCTTTTTCACTAGATTCTGCGTTCCAAGTCTCCGCATGATCGTCAAACCGTACGGTGGCCAGCAGCTGTGATAGTAACTTTTAGCAACGGTAGGCCAATGATCCTTTATAAGTCTTGACAACTATTTTACAGCGTATATTATAAATATCATAGGAACTACAGCTATGTCACATTATAACCGCATGGAGAGCTGGTTCTAGTAAGGTCCAGGGACTTAGGGTTTACTTCTTAGATGAGAGGTCAGGTGACCGACTTACGCCAAATGTTTGTCATTGTGGTCATGTGATCCCCGACTCACTGTGTCGGTGTGTCCATGATCAGATCGAATATAATTCTGTCAAATAATCGGTAAGAGCAGAGTAGATACCAGTATTAACACAAAACACCTCTTGATATGTGATTGAGCATGATCTCCAATCATGAACACACCTAGCATCTCCTTCACAAGCCTCGGCTTGGTGGTCCTCGACGAGATCCGCTTCCCCAACCAGGAGCCGTTACTCGATATTCTGGGCGGTTCTGGTGCCTATGGTTGGTTCTATTCTGCGTTCAGCTGATCGCGATGTGCAACATGTCGTTGGGCTGATCCGTGGTGCAGCCACGCTTGGTGCTCGATTATTCCTCCGTCCTCCGCTGAGCCATACTCTGGGCTGGATGATCCGTACTGGAAATGATTTTCCAAAGCTCATGGAGGAGCGTTTGAGAAGCTGGGGCGCAACGTTGATTGTAGAACGGGAAGCGGACAAGCCGTCAACCAGGGGTTTACTGGAGTATAAGGATACTACGTTTGGCCGTACGGAACCTCCTGATTCATTCGTCATGACGAAAACAAGAACTAATGGACATCAGCGAAACACTTCACGTACACCACACCCCTCCTCCCAGTCCACGACAGCTACCTCGAAAACAACCCCCTCCTAGCCGCAAAAGCATATCACTACCTCGAACCCCCCCAAGAGATGCAATCCCGTCTCTCAACCCTCCTATCTCTCAGAAACGAAGCAGCCGACGCCCTAGACCTAGACCTACCCCGCCCCTTCATAATCTGGGAACCAGCCCCCTACGCCTGCAAACCCGAGAACCTCCAGCCCTGCCTGGACGCCGCACACGCCGTCGACGTGCTCTCCCCCAACCACCTCGAGCTCGCCGCGCTCTTCGGCGAATCCCCAGCAAAAGCTCACGACAAAGCCACGATTGAGGCCCTCGCGCGACGAATCCTAGACAGCGGCGTCGGCCCAGACGGGACCGGCACCGTCGTCGTTCGCGCAGGCGAGAACGGGAGCGTCGTTGTTGCGCGCGATCTCCCTCCCACGTGGCTGCCGCCGTTCTATACGGCTGGACCAGACGGGGAACAGCATTCTAAGGTTGTTGATCCGACTGGGGCGGGGAATGCGTTCCTGGGGGCGTACGCGGTTGGGTATCTCCGTACCGAGAATGCGATTGAGGCGGCTTGCTATGGGACTGTGGGGGGGTCGTTTGCGCTGGAGCAGGTGGGGATGCCGGAGCTGGTCTTTGGCGGAGATGGGGAGTTGTGGAATGGGGAGGATGTTTTTGTGAGGTTGGCTGAGTATAGGGAGGCGGTTGGGCTTGGGGCCTTGGTTTGAGGCTTTGGTGTTGCTTTCGCGTAGTTCTGGCTCTGAGGAGGCCTCTGTGAACTAGCTGTAAGGCCTGCGTTGCAGTCCTTCTACATGAGGCCCGATCGGTGAGAAAATTACTCAGAATAAGGTTGTGCAAGCCTTGAGATATCAGGCTATTGCTCAGTTAACATATGAAACTCTATTCAAGTCTAGCTAGCCTGAACGCCGGGTATATGACAGTGAATGATCGTCGTAGCAGACCCCGCTGGCGAGTCCTTTATTGAATGCGGGGTCCCGCGATCTGCCTTGGAGGGATCGAGGGCATCAACAGAGCACATATATACACGGTATGTGGAATCTCGTATATGCATAAAAGCCTGGTAAACGAACGGTCATTCGCCTATTCTCCTGGTTTGAGATGGATCGGTCTTCCAGCGGGTAACACACCCGGTGACGACATGCCGGTTCACTCGAGACTGTTATCTTGAAAATCAATCTACAGAGCTCCCGGATG